CGACAGGACACTTCTTTGAAAGGCTTTCGTCGAAACGTCAAGTCGAAGAAGCGTCTAGTCGGAGAAGTTGCGGAGAAGTGTCCATCGTTTAAGTGACATGGAACCACCAAGACGAACCGAAGGGACTGATGAGACCGGCTCAGGATTTCCATACTCGTCCGCCAGGATGCTCAGGACCGCAATAGTCGGTGTTTATCAGGGATGACTATGGATAAGTTAGTTACGGGGTTAGGCAATCCGATATAAATGAGTGCGTCGGACTCCGTCATGGTCCGGTTGGCCAGAGGCCAGTTTGCCATCGGCCTTAGTGTGCTTTCGTAACAATGCCATAAGGCGCATCAGGAACGGAACCAAGGATCGAACCAGTGGTGTAGCCAGGATTTCACCATTGGGGAACTTACTTTTCCTCGTCGGGGGGGGGGGGGGGTGCGTTTAGACCAGCTTGAACTAAACTTGGGGTAGCTGAAGCCCCCCCCAGCCCCCCTCGCTACGCCACTGGATCGAACGGGCAACGCAACGGACTTGGGATTTTGGGAATTTGAAGACTATACGTAGTATAGTCAGCCTAGCATCGACCGAGAGGGGTTCAGCCCCCTAGGTCATGGATGAATCATCTACTGGAGCCAGGCTCGCCCAGAGGTTTCCTGAAGGCTCGAGGCCCCGTAGGCCCCTCGGACACCACTGTATGGATGGGGATAACTGGATGGGCCTTTTGGGACCTTAGTATTGGGTCTCATTGAGGCCCGGGGTAGATTGTCCCCGATGCCCTCCCTTCTGGGCTGGCCTGATTGAAGCGGTGTAGACCAAATTAACCCCTTACTGCATGATATATGAAAGCCTTGGAGAAGAAAAATTCAAATTTTGCACATATTTCCTTAACGGTACTAAAGTAATATATTTTTTTAAAGACAAATTGTCTTTCAAGTTTGGTCATTTTAATGCAATTTTAATGCTTTGTCAAAATTGAAGAAATTTGTAAGAAGCAAAAAACTGCAATAGGTATAATTTGTGAAACCTCAGAGAAAGATGTGAGATGAATATATGAGACAAGTAATGCATGATAAATTCTAAAATAAGCTTTAAAAAATTGAGAAGCGTGCGGCGAAATAAGGCGAAGTCTTTACTCAGCTATGGTACAGACATGATATCTTCAATATGGTCCCAGTTGATAACAAATATACATTTAAAAAGTATTGATGTTTTTCCTAACCGGAAACATCAAGGATGTTTCAGAAATTCCCTATTCGCCACATAGTGATTCTTCAGCAATTTTATGTAAAAAAATATAAGGCAGGGGTTCTCAAACTGGGGGGGTGCGACAGGTCATGGGAGTTTTTTTTTCATCTACTACAATGAGCAATTTCAAAAACTATGGAAATTTTTTTATTCATTATCCTTTTTTTTTTTTAATAAGAAAAAGGTCAGATTCCTTCAGGTCTATCTGGCTCTTTCTCCAGGAGTACAAGACTAAATTAAAGCAATTGAAGGGGGCAGAATTTAAAATTCAATTCCTTTTTTTCAAGGGATGTATATTTCCGTCACCGATTTCCTACGATTCGAATGAAGATAACAAATGAATCGGCGGTCCCTTTGGGCTGTAACTTGAATGCTCGATGAATCTAGAGTCCGTGCACTGGTTCTGTCTAAATAAATACTTGAAGAAACCCAATGACGCAGAAGAGCTGGGTTCCCCGGGCAGACAAAATCTCCTAAGACAGGTCAGGTCTTTGAAAATGATATTTGCGCCGTTATTATTACCGTCCAGTCCAGATTCGATCATTTGTGGACCCAGAAGCATGAGAGCGTCGCTCCCATTACATTAAGCGAATGATAATCCGTTTTCTAGCTGTGACCCGATCCCTGAAGTGTTGCAATCCGTTTCCCATTTTTTCCAATAATCGCATGGAAAAAGCATCCGTGGATTAAGTTCAATTTCTAGGTACTCCTCTCAGAGAGGAAGGGGGCGCGACGACGAACCAGGGTCACTAGGGGGGGGGGGGGGGGGGTGCAGCGTAAAAAGTTTGAGAACCGCTGCAGTAAGGGGTTAATCTGCTTCGGATCCGAGTGAGTCTTGGCTGCCGTTCTGGTTTACCGGCCGATGAGTCGAGCTGGCTAAGACGCTTTCCCTCCAAGGGAAGGGCCGCTACAAGGGATTCCCAAAGGTGATCGGATAGATTCATTTTCAAATCGGGCAGTCTGGAAAAGAATCTCTTGGGTCATGGTCTTCAATAGTTTAAATAAGTGCGATGCTCCTAACCAAGTGATGAATTATCATATCTGAATTACCTCGATATCAGCAATATTCATGGAGAAAAAGAAAGCGCAAGCGGAGGGCTCCAAAAATGGCGACTCGTCCGGTCGCTTTTTTCCTCCAAATTTCAGGGCTTTGTAGTTCCTAAAATAAACTACGAAAAGCTCTGAAAATAAATACAAGCTTACTTGAAAGGGCATACTTTGTATTTCAGCAATATTGAGGATGTAGAATAAAGAATTTTTTAAATGGCATCTGACTGGGAATTATTTCCTAAGTGTAAAACGTATTATATTTTCTATAAAAAAAAATGCTTGCATGAATGTGTATTCATGACAATTAAGCACTCATAGTATTCATAGTTTATTTGATAATAATTGACAACTTTCACTTCTTTCACAATAAATGGTTGAAGAAGTTAAATAAAAAATACTTTTTTTTTTTAAATCCTAACAGTTGATTTCTGTTATTATTTTCCCTATTATACAGGGTGGTCCAAAAAATCTCGGACCCAAGGCTATCAATGAAATTTACAATACCACTGGATGAAATACAATTTTATTACAAGTGCAACTCTACGTAGAGCATTGCTTCACGTAAAAAAATGTTAATTTAGTTTGAGCAATAAATCTCCAGCAATTACAGCACATTTTCAAAGTGGCCCCCATCTTAATCAATGTACATCACAACTCGCCATTTGAACTGATAAATCGCTCTGCTTATTTCGGCCTAATCCAGGAGTTGCCTAGCTTCATTAACACGCTCGATGAAGTGTTTCCTTTAAATCCCAAATGGCCTGTGTGCTAATATTGACACATTCTTTCACATAATAAACCACCGGTCAGGAATGCAATGGTCCAAGTATCCCTGACTTCATACGACCTGACATATAGTCCCCAAATTCACCTGACCTTAATTCGGTGGACTATTATTTAAGGAAAGATTGTGCAAACACGAGTATACTGAGGCCATTCGGGATGAAAACCACCTCATCGAGCATGTTAATGAATCTTGGCAACTCCTGGATCAAGTCGAAATAAACAGAGCGATCGATCTGTTCAGATGGCTAGTTGTGATGTGCATTGATTATGATGGGGGCCATTTTTAAATTTTGCTGTAATTGCTGGAGATTAATTGCTCAAACTAAATTAACATTTTTTTGACATGAAGCAATGCTCTACGTATTGTTTCACCAGCAATAATATTTGATTTCGTAGAGTGGTATCGTCAATTTCATTGTTACCCTTGGGGTCCAAGATTTTTTGGACCACCCTGTAGAGCAGGGGTTCTTAACCTTTTTGCACCTACGGACCCCCCAGACCTCCTCAAGTATTACCCATGGACCCCTGCTTAAGAACCCCTGCTGTAGAGGAAAGCATATATAAGTACATAAGTACATGAATTTCTTCCTCAGAAGGAAGAGGCTTGGCATTTCACCCGATGGGTTTGAGTCTGTCATCCAGGATTGGAAACATTGGAGGAGGCTCCTCTGCATGAGCATTGACCCCCATTAAATTTGGATAAATGGTAATAAAAATGAATTAATGACTGCCTGATCTCATTTGTCAGAATTAGTAGGTTAAAGTTGTGTCAATGGGCCAATTGGGGTCATTCTGGATCTATACAAATAAACTTGGGTCCCATTGGAGTCATTTTTGGTAAACTTGGATTTGGTCACTTCAAGACAAGTACGGCCAATCAGTCAATTTCATCACTCAGACCTGTTTTTGTGATTGTGATAAGTTGGTCCAAGAGTATCAATTCAAGTAGGTAAGTAGCAAACAGTTTAGGCAAGAAATTATTCCTGCACTATAGTTTTGCGATTCTTCACTTTAGTTCAACCCTGTTTAGGGTGATTATAAAGTCCTTGTACAACTTTTAACTTTAATAACTTCGATGTGCACTGGATACAAACTGTAAATGGTGTATGAAAGCATAATTATTAAAGTTTTTTAACACACTAAGTATACATTTCTACACCTCTATGTAACAGCCATCTTTCGTGATATATCATTCAATCCTATTTTCCAATAGCTTGAAAACATTTTCCAGTTGTTGCTGAGTGACGTCATGAATTGCATTTGTGATTCTGGCCAAATGTTCATTCTAAGGAAGTTGTTTTGATGAGTAAAAAACACTTTTAACATGCCCCCATAAAAGTAGTCTAATGGGGACAAGTCAGGTGAATGAGGTGGTCAAGCAAATGGCCCACCTCTACCAAAACACTTGGCTGGGAAAACAAGAACTGTCCTATATTTTGACAAATTTCTTGGCCACCTTGTTCACCAGACAAGTTCTTTACTGGACTATGTTTTATGGAACCATGTTAAAAGTGTTGCTTTATTCATTAAAACAACACTCTTAGGATGAAATTTTGGCCAGGAACAAAATTGCGATGCATGAAACCACCCTACAACAACTGGAAAATGTTGTTAAGCTTCTGGAAAATTGGATTGAATGATGTATCATGAAAGATGGCAGTTATATGGAAGCATAAAAATGCATACTAAGTGCGTTGAAACTTTAATAATTATAGTTTTATATGCCATTTACAGTTTGTTTTTATCACATGCACATCAAATGGTATTAAAGTTTAAAGTTGCACAAGGACTTTATAATCACCCTGTATATAACATCCATTTATTCCTTTTCATAAAGGGAAGCCCACCAAATGAAAAAAATCACAATTAATATCAGTTAATAAGTATATTCAATCTAAATCAAATTAACACTGCAGGATACTCCATGTCTACAAGCCAAACATCAGCATATCACAAAATGCCAAAGAAAGAAGATTGAATATCTTTAAAAAAAAAATGCATGCAACACATCAACACAGCAGCATTTAGAAGCATAATTTTGGAAACTTAAATCAGTAAAATCTTCCAGTCAAACCTAGCATTAGATGAATTGGTAAATGGAGGAAAAGGAGGTTCAACAAGATGCCACTTTTTCTCCCCTTCATTCTCTTCTGCGTACTCTTCAGCTACTGCCACAGAGCAGTAAGGAACCCGATGAATGATGCGATGTAATTCTTTGACATCCCTTGGTGCATGACCAACCAATTGCCTAGTACATGTATCCAAGGTTGCTGCATGACCAACCATCAAGATGTTCCCTCCTGGAAACCAAGAAAAACAGCATTAGTCTCATTCTAATAATGTTCACTTTAACCCTTTCAGACCCCATGTCCATTCCAATGGATATTGCATTTTCATTATTTCTATGGTAATTTCTAGGGATTCTTGTGACTTTGCACCCCATATTACACTACAATGGACTCAATTATGTAAGGCTCAAGTCCGTTGGAAGCATAGGCGCTGAACCCAGGGGGCAAAGGGGCATGAGCCCCCCCAACTATATTATTAAGGGGGCAATGCCCCCCCCCCCCCCAAGAATGGCAAAACTTCAACAAAAGTATAGCACATGCAAAATTGAAAACAAAATGCTGCTTCTTGAAAGAAATTAAAAATATGATTTTTCTTTCTGTTTAGAGCTCCAACTGGGGGAGATGCCTGTATCACCCTGTAAAGGTATGGGGTGGAAGGGCCATGCCCAGCACCCCTCCCCCCCTGCTTGTCACTATGCTACCATAATAATACTGAGATACCCCAATGGATCCTGGAATAATTGCATCATTTGCAATGACCAAAAGTTCATGTGACGTTTTATCCGCGACCATTTTTGCCATGACAAAAGTGCCAGTAACCAAAGGCACAATAGGACCTTATACAGAATGGTTTTAAAACATATACAACTTTAACAGGTCATGACTTGTTTCAACATGCATCTTTATAAAACAACTTTTAAATTGTAGAAAAACACATGAGGTTTCAGTACCAACTCATTTCTATGTTAAAATATGTTAAAAGTGGCATCATGTAGAGAATGCATGCAAAGCAATATCAAAATCCATGGACTTGTTTTGAAAATGCAGCAGACCAGTGCAACCACACCCAACCAGATGGAACAAACTGTTCCCCTACCATAGGAGAGTGCTAATTATTCAGTGTTTGAATTTCAACCTAGGTTACACACATGTGCACAAAATGAAAATGGGCACATTGAACACCTGTTCTGCTTGTGAAACAGGAAGGAACACTGCATCTTACACTTTGTCATGTGTGTAATGTCAGTTGTCCTGTATGAGACACGACAGTGAATTTTGGCACAAGCACCCACACAGTTCTGGCTGTACTCCCTTACTACTGTCAAACTCTGATTTACACCTCCTTTATTCCCATAACCAGCTAATGGATATTGTTATACCTCCTGCATGCAAGTGTTCATTTGATGTATAGTACATCCACTAGAGATTTTTAGTTTTTTAGAGTTGAGTTTAGTTGAGTTTTTTTAGAGAGATGTCACTGAAGTATACAAGACTACCCATACATGAGGCAATAATCGCATTAAGGATGATCGCAGTGTTCTCCCTACTGTCATCGTATCTCAGCTTGGAAGAAAGCAAAATTGCTGGCCATATGAGAGCATCCGGCTTCTGAATCCTGCCGAGGCCTAAACAAAATGTTTTGTAGATTTTCATGATCAGATTGGCTCCCTTGCAAGACATTCAGGAAGCATAACACTGTCAATCCCAAGCACTTCAGCGGGAATCATCCATCGTCATCCTTGGGTACTTCTCATGCCTCAGGCTATGTTGCATTTGAACAATTGAATGAATCGAGTGAATTTAGGGAGGGAGCTATTGACGTGGTGGATGGATGGGTAGATGTGGATCTGCAAATCCCACCAAATCTGTGGATTGATTAGGCTGTAGGGAGTGGCCAACATGCCCTTGCTTCACAGCAAGACTTAATTCACATTTTGTGGTGATACTTTAACCAACACCTGGGAGTGGGAGAGAAAGTTCTGGCATCATTCATTGCACAACTGGTGCAAATCTTCATCGGAGTTACACTCTCGATGATTTATTCCATCATTAAAAATATATTATATCATTACCGTGTTTGAGCCTGTGATTCTTTCACTCCACTGATCTACTCACTGTCATGCCTCTCCTTTCCCCTTTACATGGAGATCGTTTGCTTGGAATATTCACCGTAACGGAGTTCTGTCGAAATTCGACATGAAAAGGTCATGTAACGTAATACATATGTTGAATTGGGAATTTTCTCTCAAAATAAGCAATGAGTCAAGGAATCCATGGCCGAAAAGCAGATCCTCTTCTGTCCCCTGTTCTCCATCACCATCACTTGTTTCCTCTTCCGAACATTAGAAACTGATGCCAGGCTGACCATCAAAATCTGCACTGAGTTGTGAATTGTCCTCTCCTCTTTTTGCATATTCAGGATGGCCTGCTGTTCTTGATGGGTCAAAGATTTTCCCCTACTCCAACACGTTGACTTGATGTCAAAGGGAGTAAAGTGAGCTCAACCATAGCCATTGTTACCCCGAGTATGGGAAGTAATATGTATTACAAAAACATCTCTCTAAAAAATTTGTGGGTGTACTATATTAGTTAGCCTTCAAAAATGCAGTGCTAGTCAGAACCAATTAGAGGTAGCCAAAAATTGAAAAATGTTTTTAAAATTATTGGGACAGACAGGTATATTTGAACTTGCTCATTGTTTAGCACTGTATACCATAAGTGTGTTTTTTTCTTCATGAATTTCATTATTGAAAAGTTGAGGGGTGACTTTATCAGAAAGAAATAGTTTAAGGCAAATTTGCTTTTCTCTGAGCATATTAATGGGTCCATAAAATTAGGGGATCTAAAGAAAATGGCAAGACATGCCAATACTGGCAAGTTAATGGCATTTCCCATAGAACCTACAATACCAGGTGGCTCATAAAAAAAAGTCTCAAACTTCATGCATCTGTAGATGGGACACCATATTAAGTATCGTCTTAAAATTTTCAGTCTGTCATATCCAATGTGTAGGTAGTTGTAGTTTCAGGAAAATTTCAGTGAAATTCCCAGCTCTGAACATGAGTAAGAGCTCTTTCTGTACAAGTTGTCAAATGAAATAGTGTGTGTCATTTCATTTGCCTTGAGTGCTGCCTCAGAAGGCAATTGTCAAAGGACATATCAATGGAGGACCCCATCAAGCACTTCTTTCACTGAGGTCAGTAGCAATTCTTTGCACACTCATCCTTTTGACATTGTGCAGGAGAAAAACTGTTACTCACGTAGTTAGCTACCAATTTCATGGAAATTTTTATGATATTACCGGCAGATATTACATGTAAAACCCAGTAAATTTCCTGTCAATATCTCATATGGTATTGCATCTGCAGGTGTGTAAAGTTCAGGACTTTTTTTTGGGCACCTGGTATATAAAGCAAGAGTTTGTGCATCTTATCTAATAGGTTGGCCAAAAGTCCAAAGCTTTGGGGAGAATTGGAGGGCTTTTTGCTGAAAAAACACTGTGAAATTTTTTATTGCCTGAATGATGAACAGTCTACACAACAGCCATGAGTTTAATAGGATCCAGTACCACTTAGCCTTTGGTGTTGAAATAAGATACAGACTGTAAATAGACTACTCACCTATGGTTTGGGTTGCTTTGATGATCTTCTCAGTGATGAAGAAGTTGCGCATATAGAACTGCTCACAAGTTTCACTTTTGTCATGAAGTTCCAAGGTAGTGATAAGAGGTGTGTAAGACAGGTCAATATTGTAGCCCATGGCATGAAATTGGGCTGGGGAGAACCAGATTGGCATTGAGTCTTGATACCAGGCCAACCATTCAAACAGGCCTGGTTCAACCTTGATGGTCACCAATGACTGGAGCCCGATGCCTGTGGGCATGATAATTTTTCAATTTTATTTCAAGTAGTAGATACTATATTAGCTCATTCAAAATTACATTATTCAACATCAATTAGTCTAACCTGACATACCTTCCTTCAAAATTTTTCTTCAGCCAGCTCCATTGGGATCCATTTGGAAAGGGATTTAGAATCCTTTTGGATCATTTGCCTCAGATACATCATGATGGGTGTTCACTATCTAATGCTAGCACTTTTACTGAAAAATTTGAGATTCCTACCTTCCCATTTCAATGATGTACCACTTCCTTTATCAACAGATCTCCAACTAACATCACAGGAGCCACATGACTTTCATATTCTGATCCTCCTCCATCAATACACCATACATCCCTTGTCAAGTAAGTTAATTATTCAGGGAGTTCCTGTACCTTGCAAAATTCTCCACAATCATTTTCATTGACAGTAGAAGGGAGATATTGTCTTAAGTCTCTCATTTCTAGATCTATATTTTTGTCTCTAATTGAGATCTCATGGGAATGGGAACCTCAGCTTCCTCATCTTGTGAACTTTCCACTTTTTTTGTGAATCTCTTAAATATATTCCTTTGCATTTTGAAGCCCCTCTAACCACCAATTCTCCTGTCATGTGGAAACTAAAAGAAGCAATAATTATGATATAAACCTTGTAACCAAACAAGTGACTGCACATAAAGTGTTCCAGGATGGATTTAGAGGATTGGCTGAGTTAACCCTTTCGTGGGCAGCGGGAAGGATTCTTCCCAGTGAAGTTTCAACCCTCCCAGTACCCTGGGAAGGCTTCCTCCACTGTATCACACTTGCATCATCTACCAAGATAACTCCATGAAAATTTTACCTGGTGCTCATGAGGCCTGTAGGGAAGCCATTTGGGAGAAGATATGTAAGCATGTAACCTGTTCAGGCAACACTTGCAGAAGCAAAGTATTTAATGATAATTATGGGACAAAATCAGGTAAGATATGCAAAAAATATTTCCTACATTTTCCTTTTACATTCTTTTGAGACTATTTGTAAGATAGTTCAGCTCTTGGTAATATACCTGTATATATAGTACATATAGTTTATAAAGTATTACAGAGAATATACCTATATAAATATTAAATTTTTTTGCATTTAGAGAATGTCTGGGATTTTTCTAAATTAAAGGCTTCATGCGTGGAAAAAGAAAATGTACTGAATTTTGCCTTTTGCAAATGATAAAAAAAATTTCCCACAAAAGGGTAAACATGTATTTGCTCTTTGCTATCCATTTTATTTGTAATGCTTTGGAGATTATTTGACTATACCTAACAGTGGATCTCAAAGGGTTAAACATTTTAAATGGCATGCACTTAATTGAGGGCCAACACTCTCTTATCCCATTGCAGTTATCATGAAGAAACCACAGGAAAGAATATAGTACCCCATAGTTTAACCCTTTCATTGCTACATACATTTTCTTTAAACATGCTGAGATTTTTTGCTTTTGGTGCACCATGGTGTGCTTTATTTATAAATTAAAAAAATTCCCTCCTTTACCCAATTACATAATTGGACTCATACAGGCTGTCTGGAAAAATCTCCATTCATTTGACACAAGAAGAGACACACTTCTGTTATAGAGTAAACTCATTCATAGCAATGAAAGGGTTAAAGAGGCAGCAGCTTGGACCTACGAGAGATGGTCCCTTCCCAATAAGTACCATTATTAATCATGTCATACCCAGTAGTACAATAGTAGCATGGGGAATGATATCTCTCCATATCCTAAAATAACTTGTAACTACTGAAAATCTTGCATCAAGGAAACAACAGCTATAAAATTTAAAAAATCAAGAACATTACCACTGACTTCCTCTTTAAGGTAGCAGACTTACTTTAGCATTGTCATTTTTGGAAAAAAAGAAGTTTCCACAAAAATCAGATAGCATCATACTTCAACTCGTGCAGATGCATAACATCGCCATAAAAGATGAAAATATTTAAAAAATGGTTCATTAGCTTAATTTGTTATCCATGACCCTAACCTGTTATCCCTGGCAACCGCGTTGGTTGCGATTTTCTCATTGCAGCTTTGTTTTTTAGCTGACAGATGCTGCTCTGAACAGCATAACTTTTCATGTAATGCACCCATATCCTTCATTTTTGGCTGAGAGCTACCTTGAATATTCCTCCAAGGAATGATGGTAGCTTTTTTCGTTTACCCAATCCTTTGTCACTTTTTAGTACCATTGACAATGTAATTAGGTCACAAAAATTGCTAAAAATCTAAAATAAATTATTTTAGAAAAAATTTACCAATTTCTTGAAAAACTGTTTCCCTCAGGACATTTATAACAATTCGAACTACAACACTTGTCAATTCCATCAAATATATGTGAACCATCTGTGAGAAATACTGTTTAAAAAAAATTAATTTTTTGCACTCTGGCAGCCATATTTGACCTCGTTAGCATAAATTATGCAAATTATCTCAATGAATGCAATATTTTCTCACTCAACTTTCATATAGTCAGTTTGATTTCTGGGAAGGAATAGAGATGGAAAAAGTTGCCTTAAAGTAGGTCTACTACCTTAACCCTTTGGTGTCCATGCCTGAATTATCTCGTGCTGGTCTGGGGATGGAAAACATTAGGATTGACAGCATTTACTTTTTCAAAATACTATGACACTAAAAGGTTAAGATGCTAAGTTGAGCAATTAATTAAAGCAACAGAATCCTTCCATTTTTGGATAACTAAGAAAGATCAACATGTAGAGCATCAGACCTCTATAGGTACTAAGTGACCACTTAGCCCACTCACCTCGTAATACAGAATCACACGTTTGAATGCAACGATATGAAGGGGAGCAATAGACATGGTGAACATGAAGATCCATTTCATGCATCATATCTCCCACAGATCTTGCCTGCAGATGGCCAAGTTGAGTGAGTGGTCCATCTTTGAAGTAAGCTTGATGGCCTTCTTCACGTGTTGGAAGAAGATGTGGCATGTTCAGATCCTTACGAGTGTATTTCCCTATAAAAAGTGATGGTGATCAGTATCATTGTGTGCCCATGGGGAATAATGACAATTTTTTAGTTGCCTATTGCACAGCATCATTGTGACTTTTACCAGAGTGTTCAAAGACGTATGGGATCCAAGTGCCAAATGTGAAGTCCACTCTTTCTCCATGTCGTATAATTACCAACTTCCTGGGACCTATGGGGCTTTTAAGCACAACTTCTTTCTTGTCTTTGTGCACCTACACACAAAATAAAGTAAGAAAGCATTTTTTTTTTTAATTTCCAAGACGGGCAAACAACATACAAAATAGTTAAGCCTCACAACCTCCTTTGATTATGTTTTTTCAAATGCCAAAGCAAACTTCTTCAATTTAAAATTCAAAACTTAACATATGGCAAATTTTCCAAAAGCAAGAATCACATGTGTGACCCTCCAGATTCCCAGAATGAAGTTCAGATAGAATAATATTTATAATAGCCATGACTTGGCTCTGCCAATTGCTTGACTCACAGTTGAGTTGGAAGCAACTGGATCACTGCAGACACTTTCCTCAACATTGTCATAATCAGTGGTGGGAGGGTTCTTGGAATACTCCCTCTTACGATCAGATGGGTCTGACAACTGCCTCACATGAGAGGCAAGTTCTGCTGAAAGTCTCTGTTGCACTTCGGTCAATGGACAACGTCCCACACTTGCATCTTCCAAAAAATCAAGATTGTGTGATTGGGACATGGGGATGGACCTGCAGATACCAAAAATGTAATGCACTAAGGAAAGAATGTCAGGTCTCTCACAAAATAACTGCACTCACTTGTGCAATGTCCAGGCATCAGTTTGAGGTGCCTTTTCCATGTAGTTCAAAGGCAGGAATCCTGAACACCCTGAGTAATAGTCCATCCAAATGATTTTATTAACATCTCAAGAAGAGAATGTCAAGGAAGCCAAGTGCTAGAAACTGCATGCCTCATTGCAGAGTGACAAAGCGTTTGAGCCTTTATATATCATACAAAAAATAAGAAAAAATAATAATTGGGAAATGTCTGAAAATTGCTCTCTTCAAATTTTTTTAAAGTCAGAGTTCCCTACCTTTCAATCTGCTCTGGACTCATGCAGAAACGCAAATGACACATGGTAAATTAATCACTGAATAAGTTGCATTGCTGCAGTAAAGCTGACTGTTGTTATTCAAGAAAAGTTCAGATGCAAGATGAGGATAATTCTTGAAATTGGTAGCACCATATGGACCCATAGGACCAGTAAGGGTTAAGAATCCATGGGCTCCTACAGGGGAAAAATAGCTGTTTGGCTTAACCCTTTGCGGTCCTATCTCATTCCCAGGATGAAAAACTTACATGCGAATCTCTCAGGTCCTATATCATCTGCAGGATGCCACGCTATGTTTATTTAAGTTTATTTAACATCGTTACACACGTCCTTTATTGAAACCGCACAGTTACTGTTTACATAAGGCCAGTTTATCCAGGGCAGCACCTTCGAGAGCGTTGAGTCAAAGTTGTCGCGTTATGATAATAATTTTGCTCAATGGAACAGTGCTATTCTTTTACGTGTTTACAGGCGTTATTTTTACTTTATCAGATGGCTAGAAATTACTCAACTGAAATAGAAATAATAAAACCTCAATCGAACCTATTTCAATAAAAAAAAGTGTAAAAAATTGGACTTTTTGACCTGCAAAACTAAAAATAATAGGACTGCAAAAGGTCTTTATCTTGTCAAACAAGGTTTCTGCATTTGGGCCTAAGTTTTTGCTAAAACATAGGGAATGCCCTACCATTTTCTATGGGAGAATAAATAGCTTCATAAATGAAAAAAATTAAACATTTGCTATGCAATCGACATTGCACAGTTAAAAGGTGTAAAAGGTGTGAGATGCATGTCAATTTTGTCAGCACCCCCTGCCCAAGTTGTGCAATGCCCATATACACTGTTTAGAGGTGGATCATTCCCCCTTAGGTGAGATTATTTTGCGAATAGACAAGGTGATAGTATAGTATGCGTTCACTCAAGGAATACAGTCAACTGTATTAATTTAGGCACAACCATCTCTCGGGGGGGGGGGGGTGTTGTCAGGGGCTTGCCCCCCCCCCCCCCCCCCCCCCCCCCCNGTGGGGGGGGGGGGGGGGGGTGTTGTCAGGGGCTTGCCCCCCCCCCCCCGTCCAGCGTATGCCCCCGAGAGATGGTTGTGCCTAAATTAATACAGTTGACTGTATTCCTTAAGTGAACGCGTACTATACTATTACCAATAGACAACAGACAGAAAACATGGCTGTACTTAAACTTGGCAACATGGCCCCAAACCCCCAGATGTTAACTTCTTGACTACATGGTTATTATAATGTCACAACCCTATTTTGATTGGTCATAGCTTTTCAAGGGACAGATGGATGCAGCCGATACTCGACAGAGGTTCATGAGTCTAAGAGGTTTTTTCACATACCGCAAGATGGCGCTGCATGTCGGCGCTGTTGTAGGCGGCTCTCACGTGATTTAGTATTACTGTTAATCACTATCAAATCGCCAGCGTGTTCGAAGGATGCATTGACTCCGCATCGACTCTTGCTGATATAATATTTATTATGACAACCAAGGTCGAAATAGATCAATAGGAACAAGGATCAGAGAAGGGATGTAAAACCATCGTAGAATTCTATCGTGCTAGATGGTTACTAAACAAAGATACAAGAGAAGCAATACCTTAATGGATATCAGAGTGGGGTGGGACGGCGTGCAGCACTCACTCACAACTCTCTCAGGGTTCAGTAATTGTCCCGCGCCTTCACTAGGGTTCTCAACTGCTCCTCCTATACAATTTACTCTCAACTCTGAATCCGACGACAACTTTCCTTTCTCCATCCCTTCTCTCTGAGCGCGCGGGACTTGATATTACAATATATCGAGCATGCGTGTTGTCCCGCATAGCGATTTAAGATTTCATAGTGATTTAAGATGAAGAGTGCTTCCTACACTGTTGTCAACTAGAGCACCCCCTATCTTCGTGCTACGCCACTTCTTGGGTAGGAAGAAAAAAACTTACAGGCCCATGAGTCTCTCTGTCAAATATCAATTGCATCTGAGAGCCCTTTCAAAAGATATGGTATTGAAGCCAATTTAAAGAAAATAAATTTGGTCAAAATCGGTTTACGGCTATAACTGGGCAAAATACCTAAACTGAATTTTGAGACGATGGAGCATAGGTCATTACTGCACTTGAGGTGTACTGATCCACCAGTGAACCTTGTAACAGGACAATGCATGGCTCCGAGAATTGTTCAATTAAAAAAATAATCTCAACACCTTGTACTAGTATATGTCCAATATCAAGAGTTTATGAATCTTTATCATTTTTGCTCGAATATACTTATCTTACTTTCTCCCATTGGAAACGGTAGGGTTTTTTTTATTATCGCCCCATACTTTCTGTACCATTTCTGAGTCAATGACCTCCTATTGCAGTTTACAGGTGGATAATTGCACCACAAGAATTAAGGTTCATGGGTCGGATAGGGGCGTCATGATGTGTATCCGCCCATTCTGACGTCTCGTGCCGAGGTCGAGCGTTCATCATGTATCGTAAAATAGGCCTACTGCTTTTGAAGTGTGGGAACATAGCCACCTACTGCTTAGTCACTTATTGCCGTGCTGCTCCTGGCTGTTTTGTCAATGAAGGCATCAAGCCCATTCTTAGCCTCTTCAGATCCGACGGCAAAGTTGCATGCCAATTTGAAATCCTTCGGCTCGTTGCCTAAGCTCCACCTCCGATGGTCAAAGCAAGAAACCCAATATTTTTGGGATGGGAGGAATGGAGTGGATGTGCACATACACTGTTTTCGGATTGAATTGGTACCCCCTCTTAGGAGCGTTTCCATCAAGTACAGGCAGGACACCTTGTGGGGGGAAGGTGAAGTATTAATAGAACCATCCAACAACCATGTGGAGCATCAGGCTTGACATCTAGAGGATTGTCTGGAAAGCTTGTGTTTTCTCCATTCTCCACAGTAGGGGGGTAACAATTCAATCCGAAAACAGTGTACCACTCGATACCATCGGGTTTTCCTCCATAGAGGTGCGTCATTGACAACATGCATTTTTTAACCGTAAAAGAAACTTATGGAAGCCATTCATCAAGGATCTTATTCGAAAATGTTTCTAGGCCTTGTCACTGTAATTGCACCAACAATAGTAGCAATTAGGTTTGGTGGAAATACGGTGGTTCGTCCCCCCCCCCCCCCCTCCCCGGATCCATCTGTCCACTATCCATATCTTCGTCTCCTTTCTGGTCTTTCTCTTCGATTTCGCCAGCCTGGTGCTGGAAGGTCTCCAACACATGTCAGGTACATCAATGCTACTGCATTCAAACTGATGACGGAGTTCCGTGTATTTGAACCCTGAAACGCATATTTACTGGCTCAATGCCTCGTGGCATGTGTACATCCCATTTATGTTTTGACCCATCCCATAAAAGCTCATGATAAGTCAGATATCCCTTTATTTATAAATAGTTTCCCACACTATTTGGCAAAGCAGTTCAACATGTATCATAATTTTACGGTCAATAATGAGCAATCGACAACATAGAGTTTTGGTTACCCGTTTTTCAGGAGGACGGGGATGCGAACGTATTACTAGGCGTTCAAGTTCTAGATTTTCGAATGGCACTTTGGCTACGCGTTCCAGATCTGGAACGAGTAACATCCACGGATCCTACCGCAGATGGTTTTCAAACGATATTCACATATAAGGGCATTATCGACTCAATGATAATGGCTAGGTTACAATCTGATAAACTCAAAAATCCTCAGATATTTAAATGTGTAATGCATTTCCCCCTTGTTTTCATCTACGGGAACTAAATTTTCTGCCCTTAACACTTTCATGGCTGAATTAAAAGACGAATAACTAGAAAATTTTATCAAAATCTCTCCTCACAACCTTGCCTTTGATTCAATATGTTTGAATAAGTCTGTTTGAACAAACGATGAATCCGCAAATAACCATCGTCGAGAGCTACGAGGGTGGTTCAATACTTAACTGCACTTTTCATTCCAGAAAATCAATGGTACATCTGATCTTTATAAAACTACGCCTCGAGGTATTCCCCTCCTACACGGACATACTCGTCACATCGCTATGGCAACGCCTGAATGCCAGAGGCATTTGAATGTTTGTGATCGAGTGCGCAGCCACTTCACCACTTCGTCATCGCCCTGAATTTCTTTGACCGAGGCAATGTGGAATGTCGCCATTGCATGCATGAGCTTTCTCATAACGGCGTTAAGTGATTGATCCACATTTCATCCCTCGTCAAAATGCTGTTGAGGATGTTGTCCTCTTTCGTCGTAGCGGTTGAGACGATCCGACGCGGCGGTCACTCTGTTAGCCTTCTGGTCGAATGTCAGTTCTCTTGGCACCTATCTCGCAGTAACCTCTTTGAACTTAGAATGTGGATAAAGTTTTCGACATTCCCAATGTTGATGTTAAGTTCTGCTGCAAAATCTTGCACGGTAACGCGGCGATTCTCCAGAATAAATTGTTCAATTTGCCGGAGGTTCACAGGAGGCACAAAAGTTTAGAAGACGGATGGACACGCTTAAGGAATTGTCAAGGATTCTTGGCAGTCTTGAAATTTCTTGCACAAATACACTTCTCCTTTCTAAACAGTCTTCCCTGAGCTGGCTTGTAATCTTCAGAAAGTATCAGCCTCCTTCACATTCTCTTTCTCGTGACATTTTATGACATTTTATTAAACAATGCTGTTTAACCCGAGGATATACCACGGGACGCCACGTTCTTCACACTAAATTGCGCATGCGCAAGGGTTTCCGGTCTTGGCATTAATCACACTGAGGATTGGGGCTATCTGTCATATTAGGCTTTCAGGCTCATTTCTACTCTATTGATTTTCTAGAATAGAAAGTGCAGGTAAGTATTGAGCCACCCTCGTATTAAACAGTACAATTTAAAACCTGTATTTCAAATATAGTAACGCAAGAGCAGTCTTAAAATATATGATCCTTATAATGATCATGCATCATGAAAGGGTTAAGAAGGGGTTTCACTATAGGAATGAATGTTTCAGTTTGCCTACTGGACTAACGTTCTTGATTCCTTTGTCTGATATTAGTTCATCATGGTCGGATGTAGACGTTGCAACGCTTGACTGCGACCAGATTTCTTCTGTCCCATTCTCCTATCAGTCACTATCCAAACAACATATTTCTGTCCGTCTCTCCTGGCAAAGAAACCGAAGTTCATGTCCTGGTTGCATTATACTCCTCTGTTGGTGAAGAGGGCATGTCACTTGCTATCCTGGGGGATATCTGGCTAGAAACCCAAGATGTGGATGTGAGACAATTGTCCAGAAACCCATTTCGGGCAAAACGTACATATCTATTGACCGAGAAACCCTTGCTGCAGACGCGAGACAATTGTCTAGAAATCCAGCCTGGACATACTGTACCTTGAATTTCAGCTGCTTCACCATCAATAGTAGCTCTCCTTCCTGGTCCTGGATGACGACTTGAACGAATCACGCAACTATCACGCGCTGTACCGAAGCTCACGGACTATCAAGTCGTTCCTGATTGGTAAGTCTTGCGCCGCGGTCACGCTCCTGGGGGAAGGGCTGGAAGAGCCTCTCCACGTCTTAGACATCTTCCTCACACGTTTTAAAACTGCTGGTGACATCACCAATGACGTCAGCCGTCCTACATCCCTTGCCGTCCTTTCAAGAACGAGTAACCAAAACTCCCTAATGGCTTTCATGATTGCAGACGACGCGATCGGCCATATTCAAAGAAGCGCCAAGTTCACAAGCCCCTGCTGTGATGCAAACTAAGTCCAATGAGGCGCATGCATTTTTTTCGGAAACTGTTTAATTCTTCTATGACTTACAGTATGATCCATGACATAGAAGCTATTTCAGCAGGGGTTATGTGTACATGCCACAGGGTCTGAAGAAGTTAAAGCTGGTCACGGTAGGGGCAGCCACTACGTCGTCACTTAACGCATTCCACGCATTCACTACCCAGGGCCACCCAGAGGGGGGGGGGGGACATCATCGGGGACAATCTGCCCCGGGCCTCGCGTAAGGAGGCCCCCCAAGGAGCCTTCGGTTTAGTTTTGCCCCGGGTCCCTGGAAACCTCTGGGCGGCCCTGTCACTATCGTACAAGTAAAGAAGTTATTACAATATCGGTTATTACGAATTATTGCAATCAATTTCTGATGAATTGGAATCAGTGGGGAGGGGGGGGGGACAGAATATACGGATGAAAAGGGGGGCGACCTGAAAAGTTCGCGCACTGCTGACTAGATCATTCTCGTAGCGCGTCTCTGGGTCCTCTCGGGTGTTGGGAATTCACCTTTATTTTTAGGCCTCCAAAATTGAACACAATACTCAAAATGGGGTCTTACCAGCGTCGCATATAACGGAAGAAAAACGTGCGAGCGCTTGAAGGCTATGGAACGCCGGATGAAGCCTAGAATATTGCTACATTTGGCTACCGTCGCTTGCTTGTGCAAGATGAATTTGAGTTCTTTATCTACAGGGTGGCCCGAAAGTCGCGTTACCCCATCCCCAACAAAGCAATCGTTCTTAAACTCTTTCAATATTCAGGATTTATTGTGCAGTACTTACAATAATTAATCAGTCATTGTATCTGTATGAGCTCCATCATTGTCCTTGCACCACTGAATTCATGTAGCATGTAGCAGAATCTTCCACACGTGATGGTATGGGCAGGAAAGACCTCAAAACATTTATTTGGTCCCTATTTTTTTGATGGACCGGTAAACGGCGTAACTTACGAGCATATGTTAAGAAACTGTCTGGTACTTGTTACTGCGGGAATAGCTAAGATGTCTGGCTTCAGCAGTTTGCGCTGCATGTTCGGGACTATCTCAATGAAACATTCCCTCAACGATGGACTGGACGCGGTTCATCAACATCACCAGCTCCTCTATCATGACCACCACGTAGTCCAGATCTAACGAATCCAGACAACTCTTTGTGGGGCTTCATCGAGGAGAAAGTGTCGGCAAACCGGTATAGGACGATTGAAGAGTTGCGCGCTGCAGTGGTGGCCGCTTTCGCACAAGTGACTCCACAAATGCCACGCAAGAGCTCTAAGAGGACTTGGCGACGAATTCAGTGGTGCAAGGACAATGATGGAGCTCATACAGATACAATGAATGATTAATTATTGTAAGTACTGCAAATAAATCCTGTGTATTAAAGAGTTTAAGAACGATTGCTTTACTGGGGAGGTGTAACGCGACTTTCGGGCCACCCTGTATAATAATCCTAAAATCTCTCTCACCGTTTGCCTCCTCCAGCTCTTCAACGTCGAACTCGTTCAGAGGCAACTTACACTTTTATAAAACCTCATGAGCCATTTCTTACTAATGTACAGGGCGATCGTAAAGTCAGGGCACCCAAGATCACCCGTTCCTTGAACACAGCTCGAACATGTCGCATGCTCTCCTTGGATGTAGGAAGGGAGGAAGGGTCCATCTTGTATAGTGTGGACGAAACGTGTAATTGTTTAGGTTTCCTGACTTTATGATCACCCTGTACATTCGTCCAAGACCTGTAAAAGAATGTCAATGTTCTGTGCTCAACGATCTCAGAGTTAAATTTTGCATGAAGTCTGATGATAATGAGAATAGTAATCAGCAAATATCAAAGGTCTCTGGCAAAAAAAAGGGCCAAGATACTGGGTTATGAAATTTGCCACTTGGGAGGAAAGTGGCCCACAGCCAACTTCTTAACTTCCTTGTTCGTTGTTCAAAAGAGTTGCTTGATAATTGAAGCTAAAGGAAAGTGCAATAAAAATTTCCAAGCAAATCTGCTAAACATTTCTGATTTGAAGGAAAAGTTTGAGACTGAAATTTACCTATATTTCAAGGTCCCTTAATTTTCTGCGAGGGAATTGTGACAAATGCCTCAAATTCGGTGGTAATGAGTCCATACACCTCTGGACTACTATATAAAGTGATTTGAAAGTGTTCTGATCTCCAACTAAAATTTCCAATTTCAAATTGGAAGGTTGGTTATCAATTACAAATTAGTAGTTGTCCCAATCAAACGAAGCAGGAAAGTTGGAATCCTGAAAGCTTGAGCCCACTTTTTGCATGTGTGACTAATTTAAACCCATGTCTTGACTCATTTGCTGTAGAGACCTACAATTCTGCCCATACTGTTCTCACAATAACCCACTTGCACATGCCAAGTTTGATCTAAATCCGAGATTGTCATGCACAGACCATTGATTGATTTGCCTGTTAATTATTTAAGGATGCATTGTATGGCTTAGACAAGGGTACTGAAAAAAAAAATCCTCATTCCAATACTCTCATAGCCTTTTATTGTCTATCACTTACCCGAATTATGATTGTGATTCACATATATGAAGATACCTTTCTCCCACAGTAGATGATGAGGCATTTATTTTGGATTACCCAATATTAAAATTACAGAGGTTATAGAAAAAAAAAGGACCAACTATGAGTTGCTGTATCTCAAGATTGTTTTAATCAAATTCCACCAAATTTGGCTAGAATGCTGCTTCTTTCAAGTTTGAAAGTTGATTCAAATCTGCTAATTTATGTCAAAGTTATTTCCATCATTCTTCATAAAGTCTGATATTTAGAGTGGACAATTCCTCCAATGGTCTGTAGCAGCACTCACTCTGGGAAGTTGAAGCATCAGTGTCTAGAATTCTACACCTGCAGAAACTAGTTTATTCCTGTGCAGTTATTTTTGTCTCATACAAAAATTGTTTGCTTTGAAAGGCATATTACATTTTCACCTGCATTGCCATGCCTGTTTTAAACAAAAAAAATCCAAATGTGTCAAATATACTGTTGTAATTTTCTATGCAAAGGAACTTCTGTCCATTATAAATTTCAAACTGGTAGCAGAACATTGGTAGTTTTAAGTTTAACCATCAGATTTTGCTTAATTTTGTTTTCATAAACTGTGAAAGAGGGTGAGTTCAGTTTGCACCAATTTTGCTTAAAAGCAATCCTGTTCTATAGTGAAAATTTAAGCATAAAATTGCATAATTTGATTGAAAAGTAAAACAATTGCAACAATCTAACTCAACCTTTACATGAAGAGAAATATGGGACTATGAGTAAACATGGGACATACCGGTCAGCCATGATGTTCCCTCAACCCAGTCATCAGCAGAAGCTTTGACTGACTCTGGACTGATATAAACAAAGTCACCAAGCATGAGTTCCAGCTCATCCACCTCTCGAGGTACCAAAGGAAAGAGGACCTTATAAACCTGAAACAGAATGATTCTTTCCTCCACTTCCATCAAAGACATGTCTTTCTTTTTTAAGACAATGAAATGACTGACTTCATTGCTCTTGATGCGGGAATCTCGAGAATAAAGTCGGAATTCCCACAGTGTTGGTGTGGTCTGATCAATTTCCTTTACCAGATCTTCAAGGGTGGAAGTGTGATGGCTAGGGAACTGGTATGCAAGGCTAAGATGAAGAGACTTCTGACTGTTGGGATCTCCTGGAACAACTACCAATACACAAAGCATCAATACACAAAGCATCAAATACACAAAGCAGAAAGCATCTTGTTACCATTAAAGTATCTTTTTAAAAATGGTACCACTGGTAGTATGCTTATCTAATAAGCTTAGAATTAACTTATGATTCAGCTGAAGAAATGCTTTGGAGATGCACATAGGATAGGGGCTTCTTGCATCTTAAGCAAGGTGAGTGCCTTTTAGGGGCAACTGTACACAGCAAAAGACAATATAATAGCATGAAATGAGGGATTATATATCACCACATGACTCCTTTTAAACAGTGTATTGCACCTGATGTGGTCAGGAATATTCATGAGCTTAATCAGAAGTACACATTATGAATGTGGTATGAGCCAGAGCCCTCTTGTATTCAAATGATCAATTAATGAAAATTTTCATTACCTGTGCTGTCTACAGCAGAAATGAACAATCTCCAGCTTGTGAAGCATATGATAATTTGAATGCTCAAACACAGGGTTTCAATGTTTCAAGTTGGTTTCTATTCCAAGACCTAAAATAATCTTTCTACATTTATGAGGGATGCCCAATAAGTTTCCACACACCATTTTTAGAATGAGTACTAATAGTGGGATGTAAATAAAAATTGGTACACATAAGCAGCCAGGTCTTTCCTACTCCTCAACATATTCCCCATGCACTGCTGCCATCTGGAATGAAGGAAGAGTCAAAGGAATGGCAGCATTCTTCGTCTCCTACACCAAAGAAGTTCATATCTCAAGTGTCCTTTTTTGGGACAAGAATGGTCTGATAAAAATGGATTTTTTGGGACCAAACACAACGATCAATGCCAACAGATATTGCCAGACACTACAAAAACTCAAGAAGGAATTGAAAAGAAAGTGATTCGAAATTAGGAACACTGATGTGTGCCTGTTGCATGACAATACTCACCCACACATGACACTCTAGGTTGCACAGCTCATTGGCTGCTTTCAATGGACTTTGATGGCCCACTACCTTCATAGTCTAGACCTCACACCCTTAGATATTCATTTGTTAGGACCGATGAAGGCACATCATCAAGGAGTGCATTTTTCTGGAAGTGAAGGCCTTCAGAATGCTGCTACTCAGTCGCTTCATGAACAAGATACAACTGCTATTGAGGACACATACACCCCCTTCCCTCCAGATGGCAGAAGAGCATTGATGTGAACAGGGAATATTTTGAGAAATAGAAAAGACCCGGCTGCTTATGTGTACCAATTTTTATTTACATCATTAGTACACTTTTTAAAAATGGCAAGTGGAAACTTATTGGGCACCCCTCTTGCATTTCCTTATAACTAATGAAGAAAAGACATGTTCTATCAATACCATATCACATTCAAACATAATGCATCATGTGTGCTTGTGTGCATGGGCTTATATTGTTTTTGTTGAGCATTTATTTCTTTTTATTACAACTTGTTTTGTGTGATGTTTAATCTGCTCTTGTGTGCAGTCACCCTGAGAGATAGATGAATAGGTGATAAAATGTAGTATAATTTTTTAAACACATATATCTCAATTTCTTGTCATTGTCTATTACTTCTCATATAAACAGTTTAATGTGAGAAAGTTAAGAAAAATAGAGACTACCAAAGGATAGTCCAGAGTCTATGGGTGTCATTCTTGACCTATTTCCAAGGAAATACAGGATGATTCAAAAGTCACTCCCCAATTTGTTTTTTTTTTTTATATTTCCACAATTTTGGATATTTTTTAGGTGAAATTAGTTCACATGATAGTCAAGTGGTGTGAAAATTTTTTTTAAAACACCAAGCTTCCAGCTTCTGGGCTAGGAATGACAGAAGGTGATTCAGTTTTGCAATGGTGCAAAATGGCTATTTGGATGGACACCTTTGTTCGGTGACTCTTGTGCAGCATGAATTTTGAAGGCATTTCGAAGTTTGCGACACTCCTGATGCCAATACCATATGAAATGTACCCAATACATTTTTAGAAATATGGGGACTTGGGAACCCAGGAGCGTTTTGTGAGCATGAGCATGATATGCCAAAACTAAATGTTAGGTGTGCTCTTACTGCCAAAGGAATAATTGAGCCTTTTTACGATGTGATGACGGACAAATGACAAATGCCAATGGTGAAACTTATAATGTTCCACTCTAAAATGTTTAGACATTTGCTATTACTCAATTAGAGCCCTTTGACTTCAATGAGATCATCCTTCAACAGGATGAGGCTTCACATGGTGGTGCACTCAATGTGCAATGGCTCTTAAACTGCCACTTAAACATTGGATTGGGAAACACAATCCAACTACCTTGGTCACCTGACCTGATTTCATTTCAATTTTTTTCAGTAGGGCTATGTAAAATCAAATGTTTTTGCTATAAATTCATAAATTTAGCAGATTTGGAAGAATGCATCAGGAATGTAATACAGGGAAAGAGGAATACTCTGATAATGCAAACTTACCTTCCATTACCTTAACAATTCCATTCCTGACAAAATGTCCTGATAAACTGGCTGCCCCCATTAACTGATGGTCCAATATAGCAGAATCCACTATACTTTTGACTAGTTTGCTGGTTACTCTGGGTTGGATTGTATGAACTATGCTTGTTGACTGGTATGTTGTTTAATTGGGAAAAACATCAATATTTGCCAGTTTGTCTGGTTCAGTGAGGCAAAAAAAATGATTTATCTTTTCAGCAATGTTCCTGGCCCATGCTCCTTCAATTATAATACCCTTGGATGTGACATGATCCGTTAAACAAGGAAACCTCAAGAGATCTATTGGAAGAGGAGCAGAAGCTACTTAAAGATAAATTGAAGAAAGATGCAGTTCAAGAAACTCCTTTCAAACATGTTTTATGCCACATATCTTTCAGTAAAACTATACAGTGAAATCTGAAATGCTAACATGATGTTACTAATGGCCAACATGTAATCTTGCATGGGAAGATCCAGAAGTGCAGGAAGGTCTCATTCCATTAATCATATACAGTATTTTAAAGCCCACATCAAACAATATCAGATGGACAAAAAGGCCACATGAATCAAACTGAATGAAACCATAGTCATACAAAGAAGGGCAAATTAACTGTCCCTACCAGACTTTTACAGAAGTAATTAAGGCACACAATTTAAGCAGTTGAATCAGTTTTTACAATGAGAAGCTACATTTATTTAAACAGAGCTGAGACTAAGACACAGAAACTTTTGAAAAAGCAAAATATTTTTTACAACAGGCAAGAAAAAAAGGAACTCATGCCACTGAAAAGATCTTGGAATGCTCTTTTATATGACATGTAAGGCATATTTTTATCTGGACCACCACATGGGGGGAAAATTACACACATTTCTAACTGTCAAACTTTTAGAGTTAGGAAATTCCTATAAGGTGCCACATGTGCTTGGAAACCAATACTTTGAAAATTCATATCTTAAGAACCATCAGTAGAAAAAACCCAAATATTTTGGATTCTGGAGTTTCTTCTAAGACCTTTTAACTGAAATTTTCCCATTTTTACAAGATGGCTAAGTGTCAAACCTCTTCATAATCCAGTCAGTTGGCATGAAATGACCCATTGATGTTGTCAAATTAGAACTACATAAATGACACCATCCATAACCAAACATAATTTCATACATCAGTTCCATGTATGCACAAAATATAGAATTTTTGTAAGGGTACAACAGTATGCTCCTTGACCCAATAAGGGGGGGATTTGATATCACATTCAATATCACTTGGCATATTATCCTTGGTGGTCTGGAACACACTGTTGATGAGCCATCATCACAAGCCATTTCATTCTATCTGAAGCTGCTTCAATCCATTTGACTTCTTCAAAACTTCCTCTTTTTTTTTTCCCAAAGCTCCAACTTTTCTTCAGTCTTCCCCTTGGGTGTATCCCTCTCTTGGCTGCCCTTTATTATTTCAATAACTAACATTGTTGTCTGTTCATGTTAGATCCCCATCCCTGGTCAGCTTGTCCTTCTTCAGAGCATGCATTAAGTGCTGCACTTCCATCTGTTCCAACATACAATAAGTCTTTTTTTTTTGTCTGGTGATTCCCAGCAATGATTGCTCCACTAAATTAAAGGGTTTGCATTAAAATGATTAATTCTAGGGTAAATTGAATGCTTGCAACAAGATGCAGTAATAACTACAGTTAGTCTTCAAGAAATAGCTACTAACTACAGCTATAGTAAAACCCTCTTACAATAAAGAGGCATGGGGCCATGCAAGTTGTTTCACTATCAATGGGAGGTTGTATCACAGCAATATTTTTAACATTCTGGGTAATTGAAGTGTACACAAAATTGTTTCACTCTACTGAGAATTTTGTTATCGTAGGGGTTTTCAGTGGTAAGGTGGAGTAAATGTAAACACAAGCTCAAAACCCCTAAATATTTCTCTTTTCAAATGGCAACTCATATCTTCAAGAAGATCTCATATCTATCTGAGGGTTTTGGGACAGAATGTTGAAAAATTTTTGGTGAATGGCAAGAATGCCAATGTTTAAGCAAATGTCTAAGTAAAGAATGGGAGATACCAAAAAATGTCAAACGGCTGAATGAGATGATGAAACATGTCAAACCAAGACATGGTGAAATGGAGAAATGTAAAAAAAAAGTCAGCAAGTCAAAAATTGCTGAATGTACTTGTCTAGGGCTAACTCCACTCTCTTTGCAAATAGTTAGTCTTTGTCCCTTATTTATTTAATGCCTTCATAGACTGCTTGCCCAGCCTTCTAAAACTGGAATGATAAAAAAATATTAACAACCTTGAAGCGGGTTCAAACTGTACTTGCCCATCAAGCAGTCAGTCTCATTCCTATTCATTAGTACTCTATTTTGAGAAACTTCTCAAGAGCATAGCTCCAGGAACAGAACCTATATCTTCTGCATACTTCCAAGAGACATTCATAGATATGCAGTGCAATGGAGGCAGGCCACAAAAGGAAACAGTATTCCCTCTAAATCCTTGAATGTGAGGGACTGAGTGCTTGGAAACAAACCTTGCACCACCACTTCCAGGAACCTTTTCTGTGAATTTAAATTGCAATTAATCCCATAAATATGCAAAAGAATCAAAAGACAGCAGCAGAAGTGGACCAATTCCCAGTACCACCAACCTGTGACGTCAGACTCTGTATCCATCTATGCTTTGCAGACTACCACACCCTAAGCATTTTGGAAGAATAGAAGCAAGATAAATGTACAAAATCACCCCAGAGATTCCAATATTCATATGCCCAAATGCTTTTAAAAAGTACATGCAAGTACAATGTTAATTTATTTAAGTAAAATAAATATTGTAATTTTCCCTGTCACAGTCGCAGAATCTCAAAAAAACTCACTCCCATAGGTCTGGCGAGGATGTAAAAACTCACCACTCAAAGGGTTAAGGAGGTAATCCGGCAGAAGGAGACTGAAAGTACTTCTGGCCAGTGGGTCCAAGGAGACATGCTCAATTTTCCTAAATCTCCACATGGCACATGCACTCACTCAAGCTCCTCCATAAAGGATAGAGAGTGAAGACATGCTCATGGGGTTGTTTCCCTCTTCTGAACAGAGAGAGTTGAGTCATGTAAGTACTCAGTTCAAATTCTGATTTGGTAAAGGAAATAAGGCTTTGAGGGTCCTTTATGTGGGATGACTGTACTCAATAGAGTACTGCTTGTATACCATTTGGGTACTCTCCATGAGGTTATAGAATCTATATTCAATCTCATCAGCTAATTAACGCTCTTTCAGACTCTGGATAAGGGAGGAGGTACTATAAAGCCCGTATGTTGACAATTCAACATTGACCTAATGTTGCACAGCATCAACTTTTCTATGTTGAGCTGTGTTTCATTTCAACATTGTGGCAACATGTTAAGTTGAAAAATCAATCTTTTCTCAACATTGAGGCAACATTGTTGTGCCAAATGGGACAGGATTTCAACCAATAAATCATTGTAATGGTCTTATACTTTGTACTCAATGCATAACTGATGAACCCAATTAATGCCATCTTGATGAGACAGATATGCTGTGAAAATGGGCAGATCAGTCAAATTTACCTAGCACTACAATCTTAATAAGTTAATTATAGATCATTTTATCATATCATGCATAATGTAATGCAGTGCATTAACAGAGTCAAAGAAATGTCAACTTCAAGTTAATGCAATAATATGGGCCATCTCTATATTTTACAAAAATTTTTTTTATAAAAGTATTATACCCTTATGAAAAAGAAGATACATTTGTTCATAATTTTCAGATTCTGCAACTCATCCTAGATCCTCTGTGAGAATTGCATGACACATTTTGATGGATACCCAAGTTGCAAACTTGGGTACCCACCTTTGCCATGAAAATCATTGAATTTATTCTGATTCATAGTTTTATATCAAAGCAATAAACCTGAAAATCTGTGAATCTGGAAAACAAAAACAGAATCAGCTGGGCAGACAAAAATAATGCAAACAAGCTTACAAAAAAAAGGGTCTATATAATAGAAATTGAGTTTCCGTACATTTCTCAAGTTTTCTGAAGCAGTTTTTTTTCTCTTACATTATAGGCCCAGACAACCCTGATAATTTTGCTTTATAGCACAACAGAATCTGAGAATTGATTTCTGACACAGTGACAACAGAAATAATACCATGCTCTCAGCCAACTCAATTCCCACCAAGACAATAATTAGTGCTGGAGATTTTAATGCCAGTCAGTTAGAGGTAGTCTGCTCATCGTTAAATCCTTTTTAACTCACAGGACACTTTGTACTGGTTGCCTTCTTGCAGCATGAGCGTAAGCTTTCTCTAGCTAATAGTGTGAGCATTTGTGGTGATTTTGAAATTGTTGACTTAAGTTGTGGTTTCTTTCAATCAATGACCTTTCAACTGTGCTCTTTCAATTTCTTCTAGCTTATTTTGGCTCTAGTGGGATTTCCAATTCGCCCTGATTCTGCAGGACACAGCAGAGGATTTTGGCCATGCCCAAGATTGCTGTATGTTGGAGGATATCGAATGAGATTTCACACTCCAGCTTCCTAACATGTCCCTTGAGGTCTTTCAGGACAACGCCAGTTGTGCCTATGACGATCAGAACGATGGTGATCTTCATTCCGCACAACCGTTCTACTTCCACTTTCAGTTCAGAGTATTTCTCCAGTTTCCCCCTGGTCTTCTCTTGGAGGTTATCAGTTGCGATGCTCACATCTACAAGGAGGGTGGTCTTCTTCTCCTTCTTATAAATCATGAGGTCTGGCCTATTACAGCCTATAGTGTGGTCTGTAATTATGGGCATGTCCCAGACTACCTTGGTGGAGGAGTTCTCCACTACAGACTCTGGCTGGTGTTCGTACCACTTCTCTGGGACATCCAGGCCGGCTTACTTGCAGACACACCAGTGCACATATTTGGACACCTGGTCGTGCCTGTGCAAGTACTCCCTCGGGGCTAATTCAGGGCAGGCACTAAGGAGGTGGTGAACCGTTTCGGGTGGTCCATGACAGCATCTGCAGCAGTCTTCCACATCCAGCTTCAGGATGTGCTTCTTGTAGTTATGAGTTCTAATGCACTGGTCCTGAATGGCTAGGATGTTGCTCTATATATATTTCACACCCACTTAAGGGGTTTACCCAACAGACTGTTTAAAAAATTCTATTGCTTAGGGTACAAATAGCTTACATGGAAGTGCATTTGGTAACTTTAACATTGCTTTGTGGCATCTCAAACAAGGAAGGGAAGAGTCATCATATAATGCTGGCTTCTATGGGGTCTAACTAAAAAAAAATAAAAATAAACTTTGGATGGATCTCAACATCCCTCTCCCCAAAGTAGGATACATGAAGTATGAATGGTAGGGTAGAAAACTACTGTGAATGCACCTCAACAGTCCTCTTGAGGTCATCTGTCCCCCTTGAATGTTAAATTTTAAATGAATATAATCACAATAAAAATGAAACTTTTTCAAACTAGGAAAAACAGGGCTGTGATAACTCATTAGTAACCTTGTAGCATCATTCAGGCTTTCATCATTATATCAATGGGTCAGTATGGGCTCATGTGAGTAAGAGTAGTTGGGGTAAGAAAGATGAAGTAGGGTACTGACGCAGCTAAGCCCTCAACATTTTTAGTCTGGATTCTCTGTGAACTATTGTAATAGGGAGCAGTTAATAGCTAGATACAAAAGGAGCATGTTCAACACTTTACACAGTAAGAGCTTGGAACTTAGGAGTTGTTTTCCATGCCATGCATGCATTCAAAGTAAGGTTCAAGCAACATTCTAAAGTATGGACAACTGGTAACATACATAATGTCTTGAACTCCTTAATGAACTCCTTAGAGATCTTTCTGAGAACATCAGCCTGCTTCTCATTGACAAAATACCCCATAAAGTTAGGGGATATGTATGGCTCAAGGATTAGATCATCTGGAAACTCAGATTGCACTCTCCTAATAACATCATGGAAACCTTTCATCAGATGCTCCACACTGCAATCAGCAACCTGGCAGAATCAAATGAACAATCAACAGGTCCATCATTAAAGCCCCAAGGAAACAAAAATCTAGCATGCCACAAGGTGTAGGATTGTCTCACAGGAAAGTATGAGGAAAGAGTGATGTGAGGCAAATAATTGTGGGCTCCATTCCATCCACACTGCTGCAAGGACTTCTCAAAGAATATCTGGATTTGATCCAATAATGATCCAGTCGGACAGAGGTACAAGATGTATTCTCGTGGTTTTTCTTCATCGATTGATGGATCAAAGACATGAGCCAAAAGCCAATCTGATGCAAGCTGCACCCCTCTATCTCCAGTTGCTGCTATTGCCCTCTCACTAGTGGAGAATAAAGATGGATCAGAAACCAAGCTACCAAAACCTAGTGAAGGCTATGAACAGTATTTAAAGACACTGACGGCCTTGAAGCAAAGTAAAAGACTGAACAAAAATACACAACCTACAACAAAAGCAAGGAACCACATAAGCAGAAGTACTGAACAATGTAAGAATATCCAATTTTTTAAGAAAAGACTTGGCCAAAATCCAAATGTGAATATTTTGCTACTTCATTATGAAACTTATTTGTAAACTGGTACAATACCCATTTACTATCTAAATAATCATTTAGATAGTAAATGGTAATCACTAGAGGTAATCACTAATTACCTCTCACTAATGAGGGCAGGCAATTCTATATCTATCAGATTCAGACCATTCAACAATGCATGAAACCACTAGCAGATGCAGAGTATTCCATTAACAGTAGCAGATAACACCTGAGAATAGAAAACAGGTTGGGCCAGCATGAAGGCTGCTCTCCAGGCAGTTTTTGGCCAGGAATTTGATACACTGTTTTCGGATTTCACAACATTTGGAAGCACAATGGCATTTGCAGATGCCATATATGTCATGCATGAAATACCATGTCTGTTAACCCTTTCATGGACACTGGGAAGAATTCTTCCCAGCAAACTTTTCACCCTCCCATTGCTCTGGGAGAGCTGCTTCCCACTCTATAACACTGGCACTATCTACCAGTGACCAAGACAACTCCATGCAAATCTTACCAAGCACCCGTGAGGCCTGTAGGGAAGCCATTTTGGAGCAGATATGGAAGCATGTGACCTGTTTGGGCAACACTTTCAAGAAGCAGAATATACATAAAATGGAAACTTGAAACACAATAGAATACATAAGGGAACCTTTCTTTCAAGAAAGGTTCCCCTAGGTATTCCATTGTGTTTCAAGCAATTTCATTCCTCGTAGACACATGTAAGGTATCCCTGAGCCTCTGTATGTTTGACTGCTTTGTGGAAGATTGTGTATGTTTAGAACCACAATGTCAGCAATGTTATGAATTTTTGGTGACAAAAAGGGCATTGGGAAGAATAATTCCCATCACAAATATGATAATTTTTTATATCTGAAGAAAGTCTGGAAATAAAATAAGTTCTCAAAATAAAAGTCTCTATAGGTGAAAAAAGAAATTTACTGAATTTTGTCATTTGCAAATTATAAAAGCGTATGCAAACAAAAGGGTTAAATACCTCATAATGCCCTAGGATCTCGGGGCACATCATACAGGAGCAAATAAGTTTTGTGGAATGAAACAAATGATGTTGGTTTATAGGAAAACATTTTTGATCTTAGTATCCATAGCTGTTTGGTAATGACCCTTCAACACCTTCACTCCAACTTTTGGAAGAAGTTTCTGTCTTGGTCCAGGAACCATCCTCCTTCAGCTTCTACTAAGTCTCTTCACTGTTAGTGGAATTTATGAATGATAACACCATATAAAGATGCTTTCATTTTGGAAAAAGAAAAATATTACTTTTGGGGTTTGACCAATGGAAAAAGACAATCACCACGCATTGTGGAACTGACAGATTTGGAAGGCATTTTAATACTCTCAGGTATACCACAGGTTGGCAAAGGGCCCAGGTTAACATTAAGCATATTGTTGGCTTTAGGGTTGCCACCTGTTTATAATTAGTATGGACAGTACATATTTCAGATGCAATGTCCATACTGCAAACTGGTCTTAATATGGACACTGTTTTGTCCATATTTCAAACTTAAGACTATATTTAGTTAACAAAGTCTAATAGCAACCAAAATCGCCCTTTTCCGTAAGTCAAAAGCTGTAGGTCACACCCTTATGGTATCTATTGGCGCCTTAGCTTAAAGCAGCTGTGGAAGCAAGTATACTTGAAATATTTGTCCATAGTTCCATATGTCCATATTTTGTTAAATTCAATGGTGGCAACCCTAGTTGGCTTCGTTACATGAGTGCTAGAGCTGCAGGCCATGTACCTTGCATAGAATTGCCTAGTCTGTCTTATGGCTGCCAGCCCTAATAATAATCGCCGTGTCTGCTTACACTCTGTTTTTGGGAAAGCCCATTTGGAGGAGGAGTTCAGTTGACGTGAGGATTTGTCGAGTGGCTTTCTTCGAAGCAGGGAACTTCCTGGGAGGAGGTAAGGCAGCCATACCTGGATGCCTAGGCTACGTTAATCAAATCTGGTCTGACCGACCTCGGAGGAGCCACGCATGAAGAAAACGTAACGTGAGGCTTTGCTTGCGCCTCACGTTGAAAGGACTGCCATTCGATGTCGGCTTACAAACGATGCTGTCTATAATGATTTCAGTTCCTATGTGTACCTCTGTGCACTGCCATGACATAAAGGATGCTTAAAATCTTCGCTATATGAATCACAGTTGCTACTAGCAAGTGATGTTTTGCCCCATTATTCCTACCCAGGAAGGAGGGAATATAGATTATTAGATAGCTGCGACAAATACGCGCTGTAAGCAATAATTGATATTCTTTATCGAATGCCATGCAATGAAACAAGTTAGTGAAGGACAAACTACCTGATTGCATATGGTCACTCGCACAGAGCCGCGTGCTTGGCAGATTTGTGCAATTAGGCCGGTACTGCGTGGGCCTTCGAAGACTGAAGCAACCTATTATAAATGTGGACTCACTTCTTCCATTTTCGGATAGGCTTCGTTGCACTTTAAGGCTTACGACTGTTTTCAATATAAGATAGGATATTAACCCTTTGTCAGGTTTGAGACCTATTTCATCGAAGGGAATGTCGGATATACTTCTTTAATGAAACAAAAAAAAAACATGAATAAGTTGAAACAAGATGGGATTGACTTCCCGACTTGTTGAATTTTACGATGTAGTAACGGACGAGGTTAATTAATAAATCATGTCTATATTGTCAACTTGGACTTCGTTATGTTTTTTTTATAAATACTATTCCGTAGAAAAAGTCGTGTTAAAATGGAGGTGCGCGGGATTCTAGGTAGGGTGTGTTACTGGATAAGTAACTGAGTGTCAGAAAGAGAGCAGAGAGTAATTGTGAATGGAGAAGTGTTGTCAGAAGTTGGGGGTCACAAGTGGAGTCGCCTGGTATTGAGTCCTGGGACCACTCTTCTTTTTAAAGTTTACATTAACGACTTAATCAAGTCATAACAAGAAAGTCTGAAAGTTTTCCAACACGAAATTCGGTTTTTCCATTAAGAAAGGAGGACAGGGCAAGATTTTTAGCTTTTGGATGAGTGGAGAAAAAAATGGCCCATGAAGTTCAATAAGAGCAAATCAAAGTTCCTCCACATGTTCAAAATAATGATAGACATCTGAATGCTTTTGGGAAGGATAAACTGGAGAAGGCAAATGCAGGGAGAGAATTACAGGTTGTGGTGAATGAGGAACTTGAATTCTTGCATGGCCTAGTGATGGTAGCTAAATGTAAGAGTATCTAAAGTTTCATCTGATATTCCAAGGCTAATAAGAGCTCACATATTTCACCATATGCAGCACTCGCAAAAGCCAATTTAGAGTTCTGTGTTCAATTCTGGAGGCTGACAAAAGAATGTAACTCTCAAGAAGGCTCAGAAGTAGGGTATGAAAATTATAAAAGAAGTATGAAGCCACATGGGAGGAGTTGATAAACTTTGGGACTACTCACTTGAGAGAAGGTTAACAAAGGGGATCATTCAGCCCTTTAAGATCATAATGGGGCCTGACAACATGGAGCATGGTAGGTTTTTACAACTCAATGTTAGTAGCAGAATGAGAGGAAACCTATGTAGGTTATATAAGTTCCAAGAGAGACTCAGGTTGTTTAATTAAATTTTTACTTTTGGGGTTTTAAATTCATTTAGTGTATTAGGTGATGATATAGTCCTATTCCCCTTTTATGATTAGCTCTAAGAAGATGTTAGATATCTTCAAATACAAGAAATAAGAAAGGAGCCATGTATCTTTAAGTACCGAGGCAATAGGTGGATATGAGTTCAAGATTTGGATGGAGATGTCAAATGGCACCTTTGCCCATTATGATGTCTTGTTTCAAGGACAAGTTTTTATATATGATAAAATAGGCTCATCCCTCTTAACCAGTTGACCAACCTCCCAGGTTGTGTGCCACACTGGTCAGCTATTGATGGAATGATGATGCCCTCACCCCAGTTGTTTTTATTTCCAGGAATGAATAGCACATGCACCTTGTTATCCCCTAAGTTTGGATTTATTCCATTTGATTGCATATGTAAGAGACTGCCAACTTTAATTGGTAAATTGAAAAAATTTTCATTGAGATTCAAGATTCAACTATTCTTCCTCATGAATATCATAGGTCCTGTATGCTGAAGCCTATGCTTACCAATATTTAAATATTCAAACATAACTTTGGATAGACTCATTTCTGATTAGTGTAAACTTGCTTTGTTTTTATCCAGGATGGCAGGTGTCTTGTTTGAGGACATTTTTGATGTGAAGGATATTGACCCCGAGGGGAAGAAGTTTGACAGAGGTGAGTCATGTTTGCCTTAATTCTGATATATTTGGCCCATTTAACTCTAGCCTTGGTAAGAAATTATCGACCTGTCTCAGTGTTTTCAGAGCAGCATTTCTCAAGCTCTCTCTTGATAATGACCTGTCACAGGGAGGTCTTGAAAGAATCACAGGATGATTGAGAAGTAAATCTCTTTTTTTTTTTTACTGCTGTTACCAAAACCCATTGAAGCATTTTATCAAGAGGACATTTTTTTTTTAGAATTCTTTCACTATTACAATCATTTTAAAAAATTAAAATTAAAATCAATTACAGTTGCTATTACCAGTAGGCAGCAGATCAATGGAAACAACCATGATGAAACAACTGGGGAGTACTAGGGTCTGAGACCCAAATAAGGCATATTCTTTTCTTTTGTCTTATCTGCCTATGTTTGGAAACAGCATCTGAAATTCACAATCAACAATTTCATTCTTCTGAGAAGTTCCAATCAAATGAGATTTTTTGACTGAAGGAAGCTTTCATAAACACCTCCAAAATGTGCTCAGATTAATATGAAATGAAAATAACAAAATGTAGGATAACAAGCATAAAGTTGGTGTCAGCATGTTACAAGTAACCATGGAAACAAGGAATTGTGTCATTCAAGTTAAGTGTTCCAAATATCCTTTATTAGTGCTCTTTGGCAACCTTAAGTCAAACATTACTGTACTTGCAACCAGAAAAATTATTTTTCAAAATCATTGGGCATTACTTTTAATCAGCAACACATGAAGTTTTTTGAAGGAGAAACAATCTTGGAAAATATATAATTATGTAGCAACCAGAATCTAAGAATTGGCAAATAGTCATTAGCCACTGGTGTGATCAGCTCTACCTTTTATGTGGTTTCAAGTGTAGTGTATAATCATTTAAAGATACATTAAGTATCAGGGATGATAAGAAATTCCAAGACTGGTTCTGTAACTTTTTTAAACATTTATTTAAAAAATTCAAAGTTCATAAACAATTCAAAATTTGTTCACCACATTAATTTCTACATGTCCACATGGCATTCAACACTTTTCTGCAAACGGCACCGATATTCGAGGACAGACTTCTGCTACATCTTGACCGTGATCATGTTGAATGCCAGCATGATGTCCACCTTGAAGCACCTCTGCACCTCAGTGATAGACTGTTTTTCCTGATACCAACATGCACACAATGCCCATTCTTGAACAGAGTACCACAGGGCCATGATAGCAGAGATCATAGGGAAAAGACAAATCAAAAGTTTATGGCAAGAAAAGTGCAACATTTTTTGGCCAAGAACTCTCTAAATGGTACCACAACATCACACTGAAACACAAGCCAGGATTAGAATGAGTGCCAACGACACTTCAGGAAATTGACCATAATTTTGTATGCACTGAGAGTGTGAAATTCAGCCATAACTTGGACAAATTCCTAAAAAAGTTGCCTATTGAATGAACTCATGACTGTGTTGAACAAGAGCTGAAATATTAAAAAATTTTAAAGTAATTTTAAATGGAACACTCTTTATATTCCTTTGGATCTATAGGTTAGCCCATAGGTAAGTTGACACATTGATGAACCAATAGTTAAAATGATTTGTTATTTCGTAAGTCTATGAGCCAATTTCAGCTGTAAACAAATGCAGCCAACAGGATCTTAAAAATAAAAAAATTACAGCATGTAACACAAATAAAGTTAGTAAGAAATTAGTGTAGCTGAAAATCCTTCAGTAAACTTGCTTATGGGCCACCCCATATATATGTCTGCAGGATTGCTGGACAAGTGTGTGCTTTCGACTTTTGACTATGACTCTCATGAAGGTTTTTTTTTCACTATCCTGAAAAAGTGGAAATCCAATTTACTAAGTGGAACTAGCTCTGCAGTATTTGGCAGTTGCCATGATACCATGTAGTGTTCCGAATTTACTTGTGTTGAACATTCTCTTCAAGTTAATGGCAAAATTTGCATGCGAATTTGGGACAAGATGTACTGAAATGACATTCAGCTAAACTGAGAATGCTACAAACAACTGCTAAAAAATTGTATCAGAATGTGTCCACATAGGAGTTAGTGTACTGGTGGTCTCAAGAGGTTAAAGAGATGCAGGGATAAGAAAAATTAAACTGATGACATCATCTCTTTGATTGTAGGAAAGAAGAGGTTTGCAGTGGGTTTGGATGTCTGGAGGACAAGAGAGGTTTTAGAAAGTAGACATAGGAATGAATTACATACCTTTCCTCCAATCGGCCACATGATGTCATGTTACTTTTTCCTCGCCCTGTATCTCTGTATCGCATGGTCCAATGGATGCATGGTTTTCAGCAATGACCTTCACTTATTTCTCGCTGATAAAGTTTACATTGAAAATAAAAGTAAAGAAAGCTAACTCCCCTTTTAATAGTATATTCAGCACTTTATAAAGAAAAAAAAGGTCTAGTAGTAGTCTAGTAGGCCTTCAAGGGATTCCCTTGAATGCCCATTAGGTCAGGGTTCCTGGAAACATTTTCCCTAATCTTTTCAATGGACCTTTTTTGTTAAGTACTGAATATACATCATATAGATCTATGACCACTCCCATCTCCCCTTTTCATTGGTCAGTACTGGTACCTGACATCCTGATGGAGCACACCCTTTCATTGAGACGCGTTCTGTGGTATCTTATTGATGGCAATTGGCATAGTAAATTTTCCTCTGGAGCAGTCTTGGGAATGAGTGCTTTTCATTTACTATTTTAATGAAAAAAATGCACCATTGCAAGGCAAGTTCATCAGTTTATCATTTGTTGAAATCAGCATCGGAGGGGTGGGGGGGGGTATGTGCCCCTCCACTTTTCAAGAAAAGAAGCCAGAAAAAGGTAGGAAAAGACTCCGGAAATACGTAACAGTATCCCCTGCCCTTCCACTTTGTCCCGTACCCCTCCACTTCTTCCATCCATGCTACACTTATGGTTGAAATCAGTTGTCTAGCAATTGATGAACTTATCTTCATACATACATCATGTACCTCATCCCCCCTTGTTATTAAAGTAGCTGCTTCTGCATGTTGACGAGATTTGCCATATACGAGTGCAGAAAATAGTGCAAGATTTCCAATTTCCATCTTTAACATAGTTGTCGGTGTGCAATAATAAAATCCTAAGAAGGTAAACCCATAGGGTGAGAAGATTTCATCGGTCCTCATTTGTCCAAATACAGTTCTGTAGTTCTGGCTGTAGGTTGAACTATTCCTTCGATTGCAGAAGACCAAGAGTCCTGACAGCACATTTTTGGAACCCTGAAAAAAATTAACATTAGAATAGATGAATCTTCTTGTTATGAGAGACCTGGAAGAAGGATGGATGCAAATTTTGGAACTTGCATGAGCATGAATGTGAGTTGTGAGAGTTAGTTTTTTTTTTTTTTTACGAGCATGGACTGCCTTTTGCAATACTTACTACAAGGTACTATCATGCTTTATACAGGGTGTCTCAAAAAAATGTATACACACTTGAATCAAGAGTATATATTAAATAATTCAGAGAGGGACGATGTTTAATGTGACATGTACAGTACCTAACAGATGACAATGTGTAATGGAATGATCACGTGTCATCAGGCAATTTTTTCCCACGAGACCATGTGTCACGCCAGATGACACAAGCTCACTTGACCTTAGAGCAATGTAAGTTGATTTTGAAGTGATTCTGGAAATCTGAGAACACATGTCAAGTGCAAAGAAGGTGGAGAAATGAACTTGCAACTATGCCACCATGATGTACTAAAACTTTCAAGGATTCATGATAAGTTTGATGTTGATGGTACAATGCATGGTCTCCCAAGACATTGCTAATATGGTAATGCACAAGCAATGTTCTGATAGACCTCACCAACAGTCAACTGTCAACAGTGCCTGGATGCTAACGGTGAACAATTTGAACATCTGTAATAGTGAACCATGCAATTCAAACCCTTGCTTCTCCACACACTGAACATTGTACCTCTCTGAATTATTGGGTTGGAAAGAAAGTCTTGCAACACTCTGTGCAAATTTTTCAAAATTTTATAACTTTATTGAAATGCAATTTCAGTCTACTATGTAATGACCATTGTTGTCTATGACATTTTCCCAATGCACAGGTAACTGCTCGATGCCCTTTCCCCAGAACTCTGGCGATTGCAAAGCGAAGAAACGGCCGACATCATTTTCGAGCTGTGCTCGATCGTCAAAGGCCTTGTCTCGCAGGTGATTCTTGAGGGCCCGGAACAAGTGATAGTTGGAAAGGGCTAAGTCTGGAGAATACACTGGATGGGGTAAAACTTCCCAGCCCAGTTCCGAAATCACCTGGCGAGTCATCTTCACAACATGTGGACGAGCGTCGTCATGCAGAAGGAGAACTTTGTCGCGTTTGGGGCGCTCTTTTTGAATGACGCCAGCCAACTTCTGAAGTTGAGCAGCGTAGACAACAGCAGTCACGGTGGTACCGGTTGGCAGGAACTCATAGTACAACATTCCTTCTGAATCCCAACAGCAGAGAAGAACCTTCTTCTCGTGGAACCCTGGCTTCGTTTCATGTGGCAGCAATTCTCGTGGAAGCCACTGACTCTTGCGAGTATGGTTGACGTAGAGGACCCAGCTCTCATCTCCAGTAACGATTTCCTTCAGAAGGTCCTTTCTGTGTGGACGAAGGAGCAGTGATTTGCAGACACTGACACGGCTCAGAGTCACTGAGCAGATGAGGGACCCATGTTGAATAAGCCTTCCGATAGCCGAGGTCGTTCAGATAGTTGCTGATGGCCATATGGGTGACTGCAAGTGTAGTCGCCAATTCGCGAGTGGTGGCGTTCGGCTTTGCATAGAGGGCATTCTGCAGGGCTTCATCAGAAAGCGTTGCAAGACTTTCTTTCCAACCCAATACTTTACATATATTTTTTATTATTAAAGTGTGTATACATTTTTTTGAGACACCCCATAGATACAGGTCAATTCTCATTAGTACGTATCTGCTTAACACGAACCTCCTTTCAGTAAGCACAAAAGTTTGTGACCCAGTTTTCCCTTCATTAATTTAAATGCCTTTCAGTTCTGGTTTGTACGTATTCGCTTTGTACTGACCTTCGATTAATACATATAACTTCAGACAGTTCTCTGTTTCAAATTTGACCCTGTTATTACATACTAGAGGTCATAAATCACAGCATATGTACAGTATTCTCAGCATCAGCCACATTCTGTCCTCCTTCCCAATTGTGGCACCTATATCTAGCCTTACAGTATGGGTCAAAAGTATTGCAGCACTGGGAAAATTCATGTTATTCCCCTCTGAAGAGTGTGAAGAAACTAATTCATTTATCAATGTAATCTCCCTTCACATAGGTAGCCAACTGCATTTGCTGAGGCATACTTCTTACTACACTTTTGTGAATGCCTGGATTCAAGTCTACCCATGCATTTTTGAGTTTCTGGATGAGCTGCTTGCAGCTTGTGGCATGTTTCATCTTCTTGACCTCCTCCTTGAGAATCTGTCCGAAATTTTCAATGGGATTTAGATCAGGGCTGTTGTCTGGTCACTGACCCTTCTCCCAGAATGTTGGCAGGTTCTTCTGACACCAGGCCGTGGTGGCTTTGGAGGCACGACAAGGGGCATTGTCATCCATGAAGGTGGCCTCTGACCTTTTTTCAAACAAAGTACTGCTCCAGAATTGATCCTCCTGTGGTCATCCTGTTAAAGGATCAAGGCAGGGCTTTTGGATGTCCTCCAGGTAATAAATTATCCTCATAAACTATTTTGGTGGGATCACATGGATCTCTGAGTAAGCCTGATGAGAGAACATCTCCCACCCCACGATCCTCAGTGGGTGCTTGACTGTGGTGACAGGACGGAAAAAGGCACAGTTTTTGCTCAGGTCCTGTTACACTGTGGGCTGAATGGCAGGAAAAGCTGAAGCACAGACTCATCTGACCATACCATACATTTTCAGTCTTCACTAGTCCAATATTTGTACTCCATAGCAAACTTCAGATGGTTCTCCTTCATAGCATCCATAAGAAGGAGCTTCTTGGGCCCCTTGTAGACCTTGACACCAAGATCATTTTTAAGATAGCATTGGAATGTTATGAAAGACTCTATTTGACCAAAATTCTTTAATATGGAGGTCATTTTCCTGCTGGTCATTCCTCTTTTCCTGAGGTGTTTACATATGATCATTTTTGCTGAAATTGAAAGGACTTTAGGATGTCTTGGACGAGCCCTTGATTAGAGGCTCTCTCTGGACTTCTGGTGTTTCCACCAGTGACTGACACTTACTGAGTGTACTCCAAGAATGCCAGCAATCCCCCTCTATGATTTTCCGGCCACAATCATACCAATGGCTTTTGGACATGTTTTTCTTTGACTTCTGTAAATTTGCATATATGAGGAATACATGGATAACAAGTTGAAACAGCAAAAATTGTTTTGCTTTAAAAGTTTCATTGTTGTTCCCGTTCTGTGGCCTTAGTAAATAGGCATATAATGAAAATATGAGGGAAAAAACACGGTTTATTTGTAGATGTTTCATTGCTGTTTCTGTTCTTTGATCAATGTAAGACGGAAGACCTGGGGAAAGGAGAGAAAGCATCTCTTTGTAATTTGTGGATGTTTCGTTGCTGTCTCTATTCTGTGAACTTTGTAAATAGGCATAAAATGAAGACACGGGAAAACGTGCGGAAAATCTTTTAGTTTGCTATTTCTAGATATTACATTGATTCTGTGGCCTATCTAAGTAGGCATATATGAAGAAAAACTTTTTAAGACAATATTTGGAAGCGTACCCCGTTTTGCCCCGCAGAGGAATTTGACAGCAACTTTTAGAATAGTCAGGGGGAAAAAACTATCACTGATTTCACGATGAAGTTGAATTCTATTCGTAGGTAAGACATGAAAGATACCGTATACCAACCCGCAACGTGCTACGCCAATTCCTTGGTACTAAATGTTGGCAATTTTCCTGAACCGCCCCATTTTGCCTCACCTTCTCCTACTGTTAGACGATTTTTATCGAGAAAATATGTAGTGCACCTGGCCTTGGGAAAACGATAAGGTGCCTTCATCCTTTCGCTTTCACTGACAGCAGCCTTATTCTCTTACCTTGTTCAGTGCGATACAAGTGAGAGTGAACGTTCTCGTTCTTCAACAGCTCTAGTGATTTTCGTCTGATTAATCCGCCTTCAAGTCCGTGGTAATGGGCACGAAAGCCCAGTTCAATGATTATCTGTTGGAGCTCTACGAGAAGACCAAGTCTCCCAACAACCCAGTGTTCCCGATAGATAGGTAAGAGAGGCTCGTCGCGGAGGTCAGGGCTGCAAAGATCAATTAGAAAAGCCCGACTGGAACACGAAAAGACCATCCTCAAGCACTAGGACGTCCTAGTCTTCGAGGGATGGAGAGAAGCCTGTGAGGAAGCGAACGATAAGTGGCGTATTTTAGCTGAAGGGTCAGGGGGGCAGGGCAACAGAGCGGAGGGAGCCAAACCCAACCCGAGTGATATCAGGGGGAAAAATATTACCTCCAAGGGGGTACCAGGGGGGGGGGGGGCAGCTGCCCTCCCTTAAAATGCGCCACAGCGAACGATGCACCTAAAAAAAAAAAAGATGCAAGTGCGTTGCCAATAATACCCAGTGCAATTCTCGATGCCACGGGTCATAGACGTGTGCCAACAAATGAATTGAAATCAAAAAGGTATGCTTAACAGAAAGGCTTGAATCCAGGCATTGACAAAGTTGTTGCATATTCTTTAATCACGGACAATTTGACATCATGAAGCAGTTTATTTTATTCGTAAGGGTGATCAACTAATTCATATCATGGTGCTTGACATGCTGGCTCGAAAATAAAGCAAGTGCCGATAGCTGAAGGCATACGATCATTATTCTGACCATGATGAAGTGTTTCTCTGAACTTGCACGAAAATGAGCAATCCGGGTTTACATGAAAAAGGGTTTGCCCATGCAAGTTCAACATGCACTCCGTGGACCGTTCAAGTTAACCCAGGACGATTTGGTCGTGCAAATTCAAATGGTAATTCATCGTGCAAGATGAATTACCATGCGAGTGTAATTTGCACGGCAGGGTCAACTTGCATGCGACATATGCATTGCTGTAGTATATCTAGGGTAGTGTGAATGATTCAGCCGAGGAAGTGGACAAAATACTATTACTGAGGAGCGCCATGAAAGGAATCCTGCACACGCCAAATAAATTATGTTACGCAATAGGAGAGTGACCTTGACCGAAGTTAATCATTATGATCATCTTGTTCCATGGCGAACCTGGTGCGAGAAACTTAAAAAAATACCCATATCTGAATTCTGCTCTTTTCGTGAACAGATTCAGTGGAAGAGATAAAAAGAAACTAAATTCAATGACCAGACCGAATCCATCACATCCTCTTCCTGCCTTTACTGTGAGAGAGAAAGGGAAGGCCGCATGCGGCCAGATCGATTCATGAGAGAGAGAGAGAGAGAGAGAGAGCGCGAGAGAGTTGCATTTGAAGGTCGAGGTCGCCTGTTGGTTGTTGGCACCCCTCTCGGTTGGTGCCTCCCGAGTCAGGGTAGACCCTACACACCTATTTTGGCTCCGATTCCTGTAGGGCTGCCGATTTTCACAAGATGCAGGCTGACGAAATTCCCTTCCCTTCCCACGTACTGTGAGTGTTTTTCCTGAGAGAGGCTTCATTTTTCTCTCCCTATTGCACACTGGATCCCTTCCACATAAGTAACACGCACTCGCTCTCACTTGATTCTATGCGTCATGCGCGCGCTCCCTCTCCTTTTTTTTTCTCTCTCTCTTTCTCAGTCTTCCTTCTTCCATTACACAATCGCTGCCTTGAACTTGACTCCTTCAACGCAGCATCCTCGCTCCTCAGTTTTCTCCCTCCCCTACGATACCTGAAGTACTGGATAGGTGAGAGAAGAATCCATTGTTCATACTTTGCTCGTGGAGCAACTCGACCCTACCTAGGAGATGAACTTGATTTTAAGGGAGGTATGGCAGGTGCGGATGTTGATGTACGAGTGTGCCTTATCGCATTGCTCTGGATTGGATTGATCTCCATGATAAAATGGTGAGTTTGATGGAATGGAATGAAATGTACCCGTTGACAGGGAGTGTGACTCAGTGAGTGCGCCCAGCAATCGATCGAATCTCAAGGTCACCACGAGGAATCCCGCAATCGATGCAAGAGATGTGGTCCTTTTCTGTGCCTCCTTCCCTCTCCCCCTGCAGTTCAGTCGTAGACTTTTATGTTATGTGAACCCTACTTAAGTTTCTCGAGTAAACGCATCACTGGTTCGGGTCAGTCTACCTGGTATGTTCCGTCTCTTGGGGACTTCCAAGGCCTCGTATGCCTATTCGGAGACACGCAGTTTATGTTTGCAAGGGTAGATTGGGAGGAAGGTTCTAGGAACGTGATGCAGAGGAGAGTGAGTGACGTCATGATGGTTTGTGTTTGGGAGGGACGTGTGCCACGTGGAGACCTGCCTCTGCCTCAACATCTGAGCCTTCCCGATTCTCTCCGCCTCTTCTCCTCCCCCTCCTGTTGCTTTTTTGCTGGCTCGTATGCATATCCGAGTTCCGAGTATCCTGCTAGGTAGTAGATAGCACCAGTGGCGGCTCGTGATATTTAGCGCTAGTGGTTCGTCTCTGGGTTCGTCTATGGAGAGGGGGTAGGCAGCGACCTCCTCTGCCTACCCCCTCTCCATAGACGAACCCAGAGACGAACCACTAGCGCTAAATATCGCGAGCCGCCACTGGATAGCACTAATTGAAAACCGATGGACAAGCAATCATCTTGAAGGGTTTCCGTGAAGATCTTGATATGTAGAAAGTTCTTCCTAGTCTCTTCTGGACAGTCGAGATGGTTATTGCTCCCCGAGCGCGGACCGCAGCAAATGAAAGGCACCGTCTGTCTGTCTCTCGCGATCGGCGAGACTCCATATTTCATATTCACCCCACCTTTTATATTCCAAATGCAGAGTTTGGAAGGGCATGCTGAGTACATGTCAGACCGACCTCAAGCCAAGGAAGAAGGTATAGGGAGACGAAGGAAATAAATAAGCAGCCCTGAATCTCTTTGTGAAACGTGCCACAAAAGGATAACAGCAAAGGGCTGCTGGTATAATAAAGGCCTAACTAATTTTCCATTGTAAAAAAAAAAATTAGCTAGCATTGAAGTATTGCTATCGCTTCAGTTGAGGTTTGTACTTAGTCCTAAAAATCCAAGCGCGCAGAATTTATTTCAAGCCTTTGCTCCATATTGTCTGGGATGGTTGACTGATGCCCATGTGACATCGCTCGGGGGTACAGGTGAAGGCTTATCCGTCATTGAAGGCATTAATACAGTATCAGCTCCGGAATCAAGTTTGAAGAAGAAATTTAAGTGTCGAGGAGACTTTCATAAGTCACGGACTCATCTCTCACTGGAATTGTCTGGCACCATAAAATCGTATCTAAAAGCCCACAGGTGCGAAAGGTATTGTGAAGAGCCTTAGATTTCATTCCATCATAAACTGGGAGAGAGGTAGAAACCTTCCCAGAAACCACAGAACGAAAATCTGGCAGGGCAGAAGGAAGGACGTGGCGTTGAAAAAATACAGGGAGCTGGCACCATTTTTGAAGTTCAAGGTCGTCGAGGTGCGTTGGCAAGGTGCCTTGTACACGTGCTTTCCCGATTTAGAACGTCTTCTTTTCCCCTTCCTCCCTCTCTTTCCTGCCACCCTTGGCCTCGGTCTCATATCACTAGCGACTTGGATCAGAGTCCCCCATGGAATCAGAAGGTTGCAACATCTGGATCATGGATTAATCTTTTGGGCATCAAGGCTCAGCAGCTTGACACCATTTAAGCATACTTTTATCGTGAAATTAGCCCTACGTTTTAATATTTATGGGCTGGCAGAATCACTATTGTTGTTTGTGCCATTTAACCCCGTTCAATGCGGAGTTGGGAATGTCAGTCATTCTCTTACTACTCAAGCTTTTCAGTTTCCGCTCCAATCTCTGTCATTCTGGAATCGACGAATACCATGTTCCCCTCCAAGTTCGATTAAAAGTCCATCCGTGAATATTTTGCCACTACAATTTTTGAGAAACTTATCCTTGGATGTGACTTTTGATCAATGTGACGGGGTAGTTACGTGTCTTACACAGTGTAGAAAAATGGGTTTGGCATAAATTTAAAAGTGTCTTCTGCCTTGTGTCCCCTCCTCACCCTAACATCCAGGACAAGCTGTTCTTGAAACTTCCACCAGAGCAACAAATACAGGGTTTATGGGAAGTCACTCCCTATTTTAAAATTGTAATAACTTTTGTAATGTTTGGATTAGAGCAATGATTTTTGTGCCAAAAGAAACAGAATTCTATAGAATTGTATTATTTAATTGATTAGTTTGTTTGCAGCCACCCTCCATGGTGCCAAATTTGAATGTTCGACACTGTGTGCAAATTGCTGCATGGTAATATGTGTGGAGACCTCTTATCTTACATATGTCCTCTTCCAAGTGTGAGATAGTCTTTAGATCCACTACTCCTATGGAGTAATGTCCAATAAGGTAGTGTCTGGAGTATACATATCCCTATTTGTTTGAATGTGTTTGAGTAATTGTATATACTCCTCTCTGAATCATTCCATTTTGAGGCTAATATTGCAGATATTAGGTGTATGGCTGGTAGTCCTAACGTAGCTGTCTTGTAATATAAATATATTTGCTGTGCTTGCAATTGATTCTGTGGTATCGCAAGGTAAAATAGTCAGGGTGATCCTCTCAATTTATTTATTTCAATAAAGGCTCTGATTGAGAGAACATAGGAAGGTTACAATTTTTTTTATGTAGACCCATTGTATTTGAACATGTTTATTTTTTTTGGTCTTCCCAGCTGTATCCCTTTGTGTCCATAAATTCTCAGGTCTATTGGTTTGATATGAAGCAAAGAAAGGCAATTGATTGAATGCTTGTGATGTGAAAAGGTGGGTACTCAAACATATAACTGACCTTAGATCATGCCACTTTGTTGTTCCTATTCAGCATCCAGGATGAGTCCCAGAATCTGATAGTCATAGAAAATATATATTTTAATAAGGTTGGAATAATTTTTCAGTCAAGTCAATTGAAATAAAAATAAAAATATGGCAACATTATTATAGAACTGACATTTGTGATATGAAAGCCATCATGGATATTGCCTACCTTGGCTACAAATAAATTGACTCTCCTACAGAAAAGGATCAGATCAATTGAGACTTAAGTAATTTTAGTAGTAGTAAGGCATGATAATGTCTTCATTAGATGGGGCAGTGGTGATGCACTGACTCCAGGGCTTGGCAACATGAGAGTAATTATACACCTCCTCTTTTATATTCATGTCTGATAGGATGTACCACTTCCTCTTATCCAAGATTCACACATTAACATTAAAGTTTGAAACATTTGACTTGGGTGAAAATATTTCCTATGCAATATCCAAAAAAAAGTGTCCTTGCCTTAGATATGCATTTTTGAGCTCCATATCCATCTGGACATTCTAGTCCCATAGATCTGAAATCTATGCATGTGACTAACGGAAGCTCTGTTGTCTCGGATAGAACAAGGATTGGACTTCTTGAACTAACCACTTTTAAAAAAAAAGGCCATTTTCAGGAGCCTTGAGCTTGGGTGTACACTTGCATCACCTTACTATATATCTTGAGTTTTCATTTTAGTAGTGGGAAGCCCTCGTGAACAAGCTCATACCTATAGTCTGTTATGGAACTGAGAAGGATTTCAATTGGCATTCACCTTTTGCACATTGATATTCAAAAGACTATCAGACAAGTACTATGCACAGTGTGTTCATGCATCAAAATCTGACATAATTCTTGTTTGGTTGGAGTATAAGTATTTCTTTTGATCCAAAGCCACAAAAGACTGTATTAGATCCAGTTGTAGTCTACATGAGTATATCAATAATCAATTTTCTGATGAATTGCAGGGTCTTATCATGCAATTTATTCCTTTATGTATTGCTTCTACTGATGTTTGCAGTTGCATCTTTGCAAACCACTTTTTCCACTTCTTTGTTAGTCAATATGAGTAATAATTAATGTGAATACATGCATAAAGCACCACTTGAAAGTATGAGCTGAGTGTGAAGAAGAATAATTTGTCAGCTAATGCTAATTTGTAATCTTGATGAATGAACCAAAGGTGCAAATGAATCTCAAATATGAAAGTGAATATTGGTGGTCAGGAGATGAAAGTAAAATTCCTTCTTTTGCCTGTTTCAGTGAGTCGATTGCACTGTGAGAGTGAATCGTTCAAGATGGATCTCATTTTGGACATCAATATCCAACTCTATCCAATGGAATTGGGTTTGTTATTTAACCTCATTCTCATGTTCCTTCCTTTAATGTTTAAAGCTAAAGCAATGCAATAGGTCTGTATTTGTTTGTTTATTATTTAAATTCACACAGAATGCTTAGCATCTACTGTATCTAACCAGTATCCAACTGATAACTAATGCCTACATTTTTTGCTTTTCTATATGAAAGAAGAGTAAATGCAGCTATCAAGACAACACAATACATGAACCAGTTAAAGCTACTTGATTTTGAAAATATAGGGTGTATCAGAGAAGACTGACACATTTGAAATTTATATGAGAAACTTGTTTGCTGGTAATTCCCTTTTTTTTTTATAGGTTAATACTCTGCAAGGTTTGAGGTTTTATCTGCCATGTCAAAAATTGGAAGAAACTTATTGTACAAAGATTGTGAAACTGTTTTTTTTGCAAAATTCTGTGTGTAGATTTTGTTCTCGTTTCAACTTTGTTAAAGAGGTGACAAACTGACTTGGATGGGTTGTACTGAGTTACCATTGCTACTTGCTGCTATGGTTTCTGGTGTTTGTGCTGTTCGCAATATTCTTGGTCTTTTTGCATCACCCACAGATCCTTAATAAGAGAAATTTTAGACATGCTTCAATATTGTGTTATGAGATGGCACATCTCTGACTCCCAAATCATGTCAAAATGCACATAACACTTGCACAACAGAGTCTGCTGTGAAAGTTCCTCAATCCTCTTATGATAAACTTCTTCCCATCTTTCTATGGCAGATAAAACTCCAAACCTTACGGAATATTAACCAACAAAAAAAATTGAGAATGATCAGTAAACAAAGTTTTCTTGTAGATTTCAAATGTGTCAGTCTTCTTTGATACACCATATATTTGGGCACACTTACTCCTGGTACCTTGCTATCCCTCATGTGATAGATTAGGGGTGGGAACAAGAAAAAGATACTGTAAACCATTTTTGTGTCTGGATTTTATTTTTTGCAATATTCAATATTCCAAGGAAATATTAATTATGATCCTGCAAATTAAATGCCATTAAGAAGCAATTGCGCATGCCCCTATATTCATGCATGAATATTTTTACTGTGGCACCCCTTCACACCCTCTGGTGTGTGGATGCCTTCTCTACTCCTACCTGGGAGCAAGATGTTATTGAAAGTGGTCTCCAAAGTGACAGACATATACAAGTATTTATGTTTCGTTAAGGTGTACAGTGTATAATATAACTTGGTGATGCCTTGCTGGAGAATTGATAATCCAAAGAATATTTGTGTTCTTCCTTCAATGGTGCAGAGGAGCAGATAGAAAGTTGAAGCAGCAAAAAACCAGAAACCTAAACCATATGAAGTTGTGTCTAATGCTCTTCCATATCATCTTTATGTTGTGCTAAAGTTTGATTGGAACTCAAGGAGTCACCCAAAAGGACTTTGGCTTGGGATCAAGATTTGCACATCTCCTTTTGCAAGATAATAGCTGAATCATGTTGCTGCACTAGCGCAAAAATAGGAGGTAAATATACGAGTAAACATTTTCTGGCCACCAGTATAGCACCACTGGGCTTGCATGATGTCTGTCTTGGTCAAGCTAATGTGACTGGTCATGCAAGGGTGGTTATGTATGGTGATGCATTTCTTATCCCTATGTATAATAGATGTGTTTTGAAACACATAGTTTTGAGCGTCAGCTGTGCAGTGGACGGTGCCACTGTCCCTCCAGTGCATCACACCAGTGCCAGCACCAGCCACACGACAGCACCAGTGATGCTGCAATGTGCTAGAGGGGCATCATCGTTGTCCACTGTATGACTGATGCTCAAAACTATTATGTGTTTCAAAACACATCTTTGATACATATGGTTACTGTATACAGAATGGGGTTTCTGATGGAGGTAATATGGTGATTAATTAAGTTCATTCAGAAGAGGACTGGGGGCAGTTTACATTCCACTTGAGATTTCCAATAGGAATTTGAATATATGAGGTATTGTTCATAGTACCATCCAAAGCAGTGCAGTTCTTCCTGAGAAACCCTAGTTAAATGCTGGTTGCCTAAAGGAATTGTTTGGTCAGGGTCTTCATTAGGATATATCATTTTAAAAATAAATAAATATATATTGAATATATATTATACATAACTGACCTTTGACTACTAGTAGTTTTGGCACAAACAGGCAGACAGTAGAGGAGCCTAAAGAACCATGATGGCAATCTTTCAATTTTTGCATGTCACCTTTCTCTGCCCTTGCAAGGCAAGGTTCAGCAATCAGCTTAACCCTTTCAGACCTGGCATCCACTCCAATGGACATTGCATTTTCATTGTGTCTATGGGAATTTCTAGGGATTCTCGTGACTTAGCACCCATATTACACTACAATGGGCGCAATTATACATGGCTCATTTCAATCAGAGGCCTTCTTTCACTTGTCAGTTTTTTAATCTTCAGTCATCTAATTAAATGGATAAAATATTATATATGGTATGATATGGTAAATTTATACAAAATATAAAAACGATGTATAAAATGTAACAATTTTAATTACAATAGCGAAAGAGGTCAAAATTGCAAAAAAAAATATTACTCTGATAGTGGCCTTAATTCAGGTTTGAAATGGTTAAGGAGCTAGTCTGCAGGTTTGCACCAGACTGCAACGACGTCAGGAACTCCATTTCCACACTCAATGGATTAAGCAAGACAATGCTACGCCCCACAAAGCGAATGAGACCATGAAATTGTCGCAAGAAATGTTTAATGAGAGGGTCATCTCCAGGCCTGCAGAGATCACGCGAGTCCCTCACTCCCCTGACCTCAACCCATTCGATTTTTTCCTGTGGGACTATGCAAAGGAAAATGTGTACAGAGAGTAGCAAAAAACCTTGCCAGACTTCAAGAGAATTGTGGAGATTGTCGTGTGCAATCCATCCGATCAGAGACGTGTTTCCGAGTGATCGAGAACTTTGCACTGAGAATAAATGCATGTCTTAATCGCAGTGGTGACCACATGGAACATGTCACCAGGAAAAAAAAAAAACAATGTGCTGAAAAGAAACTCCTGACTGTGCTCTTTCTCACTGTTTTTGACAACTTTGTGGTGTAATTATTTAGTTAGTTATTGCAACTTAAAATACATTATATTTTATATACATTATATATTGGCACACCCTGTATTTCAATCATGCTTTCCTTGAGGGATTTTTAAAAGTAGTTCTGGACTAGAGAAAAATGTCTTCCCTGAGTGAATATTAGAAGAATTACACTTTGAAAATTGCAATATCACATAAAACATATTGCCATATCTGTGGTCTGTGAATTCTGCCAAGCCAGTGCTTCACTTTCCATTTCTCTTTTGAACTCTGCTAATTTGAACTCAGTTTCTTACTTTGAGTCAGAGTTATGAATTTAAAAAAATCAGCTGCTTGGTCATTCTATCTCAAGATGGAGAAAAGTTACTTGTTCATCATCTTTGTTAGCCTCTTTCAGATGTGTCAAAAATAGGATGAGTAATTTTTTTTCTAATGTTGGGGGTTTAAATTACAGAAAGTAAGGAAGTATGTTTCCAGCTGATTCTCAATTTTTCATTTGAATTTGTTTGATCACTGCAATATTATCAGCAATTATTTAAAAGAAGTTAGATATATTGAATGGACAAGGAGCTCCTGCTGGTATTTGGGTGGAGAAAACTTTATAGCTATCCTTCATGGTCATCAAGACCATGTACTCATAGTCCATTTAAATTCATTATTTGTGTTAGTCATCTCTAGCAGATGGTTTTCATAAGTTCATTCCTAATATATGGCAGATTAATTAATTAATATCAATCCAGAGAGTTTTTGCAAAGTTCATTAAAAATTTCCTTTGCTTTACAGTGGAGAATATGGCAGACAAGGACTAAAGGGCATGACAAAGACCAATTACTTTGAAGCAAAATAAAAAAAAAGAAGGAAATTGTACCTGGTATGAATGAAAAGACATTCCATATTCTAACCAAATTTGGCGAGATATGTCTAAGGGAGTCTTTAGAAACAGATATTCTAGGTCATTGGTCTTCACCATGACTTTTACAAGGGGTGTTCAGAAAGTAATCCATGCTACAAAAAAAAATCTTTGTTTCAAATAAATGTTCCAGACAGACATTCCTTGAGAGTTAAGAGGAAATAGAAGTCCAGAGGTGCTAAATCAGGAAAATTGGGAGTATGAGGAAGGACAGACACCTTTTCCTTCACCAAAAATGCCAGTGCCCCTTGTACTCTGGGAAGAAGCAATATCACAATGTGGTCACCCTTGGGAAAGATCTGACTTTGGGCACTGCTTCCTTATTTCTTCCAAAACTTTTGCCAGGAATTCTCCCCCATTTATTTTATTTTCTTCCCAAGCCCTCAGAATGGTGTGGACAGGATAGAGCTTATAAGCCTGAAGGTGAATAGTTGTTCTGGAATTATAAACCACCAGAGCATAGCATCTTGCCCACTGACTGCTGGTTTGCTATTGTTGTTGGACATCCAGAATGATCCTCATCGGTAAATTTGCAGCAGCCATCAGAAAATCAGTGCATCCATCTTCTGATTGTGTCTATGGAGAGAGAAGTGTCTCCCATCACTGCATCCAAGTCCTCCTTTGTTTGGCTTCCAGTCTTTGATAGCTGTCACCCTATGAACATGTATAATTTTGCAGATTTATTTAGAAAATTAGCCTTTTCAGGTCAGAGGTCAAACCAAGGTCACTTCAAACATTTCTAAAAATGTCAATATTAATTCTCCTGACCTTAACTTTTGGTAGAATGATAATCTGAAAGCAGAAAAAATAATAAATTTACAAGCAGTTGAGAGAAAGCCCTCAAGGTATTCTTGAGATGCAGGCAATACTTTTTGAACACCTCTTGTAATCCTCGACTATCATGTTCTTGTGATGTTTGACTGAATTTTGGGAGGTAATGACAGACTGGGACCTGAAAAATATTATTATGAGGCCCCCAGGGATTTCTTTAAGAAGTCTTTACATAGAAATTTATTGTTAGACAACCTACAAGGAAGGAACTCAATGAGTAACTATTAGGATGTTTTGGAGAAATTGTGGGGTAACAATTGTTGTGCTACAAATATTCTGGTGAGGACAGGAATTGAAAGTGAGATGGTAGGCATTTCATGGCAGGCAACTGAGGTAGGTGGAACACGCAATGAAATTTAGCACAGTAGACTAAGCATGTAAAGTAGGACTGCTCAAATTATTGGAAGAGGATATCCAGAGAAGCTTCTCTGCCTCTCCAGGGGCTGTGACTGAAGCCTACTACAAATGTGGCTTCATCCTCCAAAATTACCATGCAGAAATTGGCATTGGATAATGCAATATTCAAAATACGTTATGCTGTGTCATCCGCAATGTGTTTTGAAACTTGCAATGCCTTGCTTCACCACTCATCAAAAAATGAAAGCTCCATCTTGGTTTGAGCAGTTCAACAGTATCATCCAGGTTCAGTGTCGATTCCAGGGAGAATTCAATGAACAGCTGCATGAAGCATGTTGAAGTCTGTGGAAGCCTTGTTGAAATCACAGTGATTAATGAGCAAGATGATGAATAGATGATTCAATATTGATTAATGTACTTTCCCCTTACATGTCCTGATCGTTTAATTTGGGAAACATACCTTTAGCCTTTCAGAACTTTGCATAATTGCTCAACTCTACCTTTCCAGCTGCACTTCAAGAACTGCTGCATCAAATTGACTGAAACTGAGTTGCAGAAAACTAACGGACATACTTAACATCTGGAGAAAATTCAAGCAATATCTAATCCTCAGTTCAAATTTGACAAAATATTATAATCCCAAAGTGTTAACTGGGACACCCTATTCTTGGATGGGGGTTTATTATTTTGGCCAGTGGGTGTATTTAAGACCACACTCGATGTCACTGTCATGTCTTACCTTCACAGTAGATTTACCACAGCAGACATCTCAGTGATGTTGAACCCACTTGAAGAGTTAGGGAAATAAATGACTGCTCTCCCCAAAAACATGGTCAAACCAACTAAGTGGACATTGGGTAGGGGTATGGTTAATTACAGCTTCTCCACATTCTCTGCTGTAAACCAGGAGAAGTTCTGAATGAACTTTGAGAAAATTCTCAAGAGATTCATTGAGAGGGACTCATTGATTAATAATTCATTGGGAATAAGCTCATGAAAACCATCTGCAAGAGATGATTAGCAAAGAATGGGTTTAAGTGCAAGATGAGTTTAATGGGGTCTTGATGATCAGGAAGTACAGCTCTCAAGCATTTACTCCACTCCCCTACCAGCAGTAATCCATTCTCAATATCTGACTTAAATGTAATTATTTGCTGATACTATTGCTTTCACCCTACAAATTTGAATGAAAATTTGAGAAGCAACTGGGAACCTACCCATCCATCTATATACCTAGTGAGAGCTTTGCAGAAACAGCTCCAGTGTGAATGGAAATCTTTAGGTTAAAAGTTGTTGATATTTTTTTGCCATACCCTGTATAATTGCTGCCCAGGAGTCACATACAGGGTGTCCCATAAGTCACTATACCATTTCAAACTGCAGTATTTTCCAAACTACAACAAGTAGGTCACTGTTGTTAGTATTGATGGATAGAACATTCTTTCACTATACTTTCACTTTTCAATAATTTTTTTCTTGATAATGACTTTGAATCAGACTCAAATGGAACTTGTTTCAAATGCATATTAGAAAGGAGTACTGCATTAGGGACATTTTTGATACACTTTGTTGAATCCTCTTCTACATATTTGCTAAATTTTGTTTTTCTCTCCTTCCAATTTCAGATAGACCTGAAAAACTGAAAATAATATTATTTCATTTAATTTGCTTTTGCTGTCATGGCTTTGCAATTGACACTGAAGCACTGCAGAAAAGTGGTCATTGGATGGAGGTCATTGAGAGTCCCATCAGAGTTAAAGGAGAGTTTCAGTGATTTTTTCTTGCCAAGCCTCATGCCAAATGTATTGATATTGGCAAAGAGGATTTCGAGGCACTTTCAAAATGCAGAAATACCCTGATTTTTGACAAAGGTGATTCCAAATGACATGCTATCATTCAGTTAACGTTACTTCTTTTTTGTGGCAACTGTTTGATAGATGTAATTTTTGATATGGTATAGTGACTTATGGGACACCCTGTTTTTTATGAAGGTCACAGTGACATTAGATCATATCAACCATGATTTATATGGGTGGGCCTTGACTTTGACCAATGTAGTGTATACCTTTCCTAGATTGTAACTATGAAAGCTTACATTCAGTTAGTGCATAGGCAAGGGTATGGTGATTATATCTGTTCAATATGATGATTATTTGGGATTTTTGGGATTAAAGCACAAACATTTAGTGAAAATTAAGGCCCAAGGCAACCCAACTAAATTCTTCATGTTTCTGCTCAATCATCAACTTCATGATCACTTTGTTTTGTCAATTGCCCTTTGATGAGGAAATAATATTCAGAGTCTGTTTGATGGTTCATTATGGTTGACAAAATATTAAAAAAAATTAGGCTTTACCAGTTTCATTGAATGGAACTATATTATTTTAGAGGAATTTGGAATCCTTCATAATCTTCTGAAAAAACCATGCCTGCACATACAATAAACAAGGTTATGTAATAAATAATTTTGCCAGTTGAAATAGATCTGGAAGGGCTTTTGCAAAATTTAGACCTAGTAGGTCCTTGGAATTTGTAAAAATAAGAAGTTTTTTTCTGACTCCTGAAGGAAAGTGCTTCTGGAGCTGGTTGCTGTTGGGACTTGTGGGCAACTTCCATCTCATGTCTATCCCTATAGTGTGCAATAGGCTAACTCCAAATTCTGTTCTATAATTAATAATGAAATTTGTCATGGTGTATATAATATTTTTTCATGAAACAGTTCTTGGTGTAATTTACTTCGTATTTTCAATAAATTCTCGAAATTGAGTTTTTCATAGTAATGGAAAAATAAACACTTTCCTGAATTGAAAAGTCAAGTTTGATTTTATGCTGTAAAATGCTGATTTACAGCACAACAAAAAAGTTTCACATCCATTTGAACCCTTTCAGTGCTATTGATGTGTATACACATCCACCAGTTCTTGTATGTACCATTCTTAGTGCATAGTGCAGTGTTTGTAAATCTAGTCAATCAGGCATTCATCTGACATCACTTAATTACCTTCGCTACTAGGGGAATGTGCATAATTCAAATTAGTACCATCTTTCTTAAAACAGACAAAATCTTGAAATATGCTCACATAGGGGGTACCACCTCATAAAAAACTCATGTTGAATGGGAATTTCTTGAATTTTTTTAATTTCAAATTTATTTGTTATTAAAATTGAAACAAGAATGAATGAATGTGTGTGATATTCAGTAAGGAAGCAAAGTCAGTTATAGTAACCTTGCCTTAATATAATTTTTTGACCACAATGCACAATCTGAAAACTGGAAGAAAATATGACTACCAATGAATATTCTGCATTTTCACCCCATTTTGTCACATCCAGGGGACAAGTTTCGCCTGGTGTTGGCTTCAACACTTCGTGAAGATGGATATCCAGATGGAGGTGAATGGAATCCCAGTGAACAGACTGGACCTTCCAGAGCAGATTCCTTTGAATATGTGATGTATGGAACAATCTATCGAATAGAAGGAGATGAAGATCGTCTTGGGGAGCCTGCTTCAAGGCTGTGAGTCTTGGTGTCCTTTTTATTTATTTAGCATTATGTCATGCAAAAGGTGACCTCTTTTCTTGCCATGGCACAACACACCAGTTTTAATTCATTCTGCTTTTTTGTAGAGTTTTTTTCAATGAATCTTCATACATTCAGAGGTTGCTGCTTCATGAAAATTTGCATTTCCTTCACTCCTGTTAAAGACTGTTATGAGAATTAACATAGAAAATTGAGGTATTCCACTGCAAGCCTTGCAGCAAATCCAATTCTTCTTTTGATCAAATACTTGGTATTTATTTATGGAAATATCTGCTAAACTTTATTTGCTTTCTTTATCCTCTTTAATCCCAAGTATTTTCCCATGCAGAACATTTTATTTTAAATATCAGCTGCACTGCTTAGAAGGGTCTCATTGAGCTCATTGCTAGTGGTTCATCTGATTTTTTTTGTCTGCCTATACTTATTGAAAACTGGATTATCTGCTGTATTGAATATATATTTACTAATAATTATAAAAACATGTATGTCCTGAATTCTGGCCCCCAGGATTAACCTAATGTGTGCCACATACTGATATTTTGGCTCTGTAATTTTCTTGCTGCTGGTTCCTGACAGGACGGACAGAGGGCAATATAAGGCATATTTAGTAAAATGCTACATTTTCAGTGAAAAGTCAAAATTGTACTTTCAACTAGATTTCCAGATTTTTCAGGTTTAGGAAATTGCACTATCAATAAGGGATGAATAAGAAGAAACATTAGTAGTTTCTGCAGATTCTCCATGCAGGTACTAATTAGGTATTCATTTAGGAATCATCAGCATGTTCATGCTGCATGCTATTCCTCTTCCTATTCCCTTGCAGCTCTGTCATCTTTTAATTGAGGGCAGAGATAATGTCTGACACCATGGCCTCGTTAACAAAAAAAAACTTACATTTGGCAAAAATGTAGACCTCTCTGTTAGGCAGTCTTACTCATATGCTCATAAGTATAAATCATATGCTTCAACCTGATACATAATCATGTAGGCAAGAGTCCATCCCTCAAACCTGACCATTTTTGTCTGTAAAACATATGTTACCCAGATATGTTTAATGCATAAAAACCTCACATAGATCATATACCAAAAATGTCTGAAAGTGTCCAAATAGTTTCTGTAAAAACTAAACCATTGTTTTTATCACTACCGAAATTAATACTCAAGAAGCATCACAATCACACCTCCCTTAGCCATCAAAATAATCATTGTTCAAATCTATGCACTTCTGCCATCTGGAGGGCAATGATTGTATACCCATTCTGTAAATGCCTTTATCTTACTATATTTGGCGTTAAAAGCAATGCTTGTTATTGCCAATTTTCAGTGAACTGTTGCCAGTCACACATCATATGGGGGTATAGCCCTAACTCTGACTTTCATCAGTTTGGCCTGCTGAAGGACCAACTTCATGGAATATGCTTCTTCAGTGGTGAAGATCTTCAAAATTTTGTAAGACCATGGCTACAACAAGAAACAGCCTTCTACAGAATGGGTATACAATCTTTGCCCTCCAGATGGCAGAAGTGTATAGATTCAAACAGTGATTATTTTGAGGGCTAAGGGAGGTGTGGTGTTTCTGTTACCAATTTTGGTAGCGATGAAAAGAATGGTTTAGTTTTTTTTATTATATGTTTCTGGAAACTATTCAGACACTCCATGGACTTAAGCCATATGTAGGCTATAATATACATAGTTTTTCATTTATCAATACATAGAAAATACGTGGTGGACCAAATGAAACTAAACTGATAAACTGACATTTTTTCTGTTTGTTTAAGAGAAGTATTGAGTACTGCAGTGACCAAAATGTCTCAGTGGTCAGTCCAAGAGCATGCATGGACAGTTGAGCACTATTTCCAGAGTTATGGAGCTGGTTGGAGTAATAGACCATCTCTAGAATTGGGGAAAAGAGGATTTTGTGTCCAGTTCACAATAGATGCTCTAAAAAATATAATCATCCTAGCAATGTTAAGAAGTTTCATGGAACTGGGTCAGTATTAAACCAGAATCAAGGAAAGTTGGGCTGAAAGCAAACTGTCTGTATTAATGAGAACACAGGAAGAGTTTTGAATAACCCTTTCAGACCTGAATTAAGGCTGCTATTGGAATAATATCATTTTTAGCATTTTTGAGCTTTTTTGTGATTGTAATTGAAATTTTCATGCTTTATATATAGTTTTCATATTTTGTATAAATTTACCAGATCATACCATATATTATATATTAAGCATTTAATTAAATAACTGAAGATTACAAAACTAATGGGTGAAAGAAGGCCTCTGATAGAACTGAGCCATGCATAATTGCGCCTATTGTAGTGTAATATTGAGTGCAAAGTACGAGAATCCTAAGAAATTGACATAGACACAATGTAAATGCAATGTCCATTGGAATGGATGCCAGGTCTGAAAGGGATAAGGTGCTACAGTCTCCTCAGAAAAGGAAACTTTGAATATCCAATAGAACTTAATATATCTCTCAAGGAAGTGTTAGGCACATTATGAAAGACATTGGTGTATTTTCATACTGAATTCAAGTATTCCAAGCTCTCTTTCACCAAGAGATGAAGAAATGAGAGTAGAGTATTATGCTCATGTATTGGCACAACATTATGAAGGTGATGATTATCTGACGAACTGGTCTAATGAATGTCATGTTCTGTTTAGTGGCCATGTGAACCAGCAGAACTAATGTTTTCTAGGGTGGGAGAGGCCAGAGGTTTATGCTCAGAAACCGCTGCTCTCACAGAAAGTGACTGGATTGCAGCTTCCAGCAGTCACTCCAACCAGCACCATGATGCCAGAAATAGTGTTCAACTATCCATACATGCTCTTGGACTAACCATTATGGCATTTCAGTCACTGCAGCACTTGATACTTATCTGAAGAAAAAAAAGTTTTCGTTTCTTTTTCTTTGGCCCACCCTATGTATACATATATATGACAAAGATACCTGCATATAACTGCCAAATGTGATCTTTCCAAATTGGTTGACTCACTGAACTCATTTCCTCAACTTGATCCTTGGGGTTTTTATGAGGGATGAGATAGGTAGAGAAATGTGACAATGTTGATGAGGTTGACTCAGTTGTGTCAAGTGCATTGAAGCAAAATCAAAGCAAAGCATCTTCAAAAGCAAGGCTTTCAGCAGAGACTCAGATGTCATCAAGTAATGCATGAAGTGTATTGAAAACTCTCCAGACTTTGAATGAACACATGCATGCAACTGATTTCTCTTGTCTCACAGTGAACTGAAACTGATAATATGAAGGACATTCAAAAGTTCATGCACCCCCATGTGCAAGAACTTTTGAACATCCTTCATAATTGATTCACAGCATTGTACCAAGCCTATTTTTTTTTACTCAGGGTTTTAGGAACTCATCACAAGAACCCCAAACCATGGATCACTTTCTTGTCATCTTTTGTGAATACAGTGCAGCATGCTAGCAATAGAAATAGAGACTTTATCTGCTGTGGAAAAGAACAATCATGAGAGAAATAGAGCTAAGTGTGGGGAATACAGAAATTTTGAGGAGCATGGAGTTCACATAAATGCTTGGCAGTGAGGTGTTGTCTATTTTGCAACTGCAATGAGAATAAATCATTGCACAGTCAGCAAATTCTTGGACATGTGAGAATCTTATCAAATTTGGATGGATACATGCAATATATGGCCATTGGTGTAGATGAGGATCAGACTTGTCGATCTGTTCATTGGAATTTTCCAGATTGAATTTTCACAATCCTGGATTGATTAACACATTCTCTGACAGACCTTTAAAATTAGATTTTTGCTAGATTGCCAGTGTTTTTTTCTGGGTCTGAAAAAATGTGTCTACTGTTTTATAAAATAAATTACTGGAACAAACCTATTAGAGCTAAAAATCAGAAATGTCTAATAATTACTTGGTAGACCTTAAGGGTTTGATACCAAGTGTAAAAGTCATTTAGATGAAATCACATTCCACACAAAACCTGCAAAAATCAGATTTTACTATTGTTGTGCTGCATGCACACTCGGGAGTACATTTTAATCACTTTGTCCTTTTCTCTGGGTGGACTGAACCTGCACCACCTTAGGCATCTTCACCCTGATCAGACAAGGAATCTGTGTCAAATTCAGACACAAAATCAATATCAGCATCTGTAGCACTTGAAATGTCTCCCTCTCTTGTGCTTAGAGCACATAGCTGCAACTTTTGCATCCTCTGCAGGGGCTGGTAAACAAAGTGTGGGATTGTGGGTAACTGGAGGGCTGAAAAAATGTGAAGGGCTATTGTGTGTTGGAAAGTATCTTGATTCATGGCATTCCAAATGGAGTGCAAAACAGCTTGGGAAAAGATCATGCCAGAGTAGGCATTACTGACCATAAATAAATTATTTACTAGTCATTAACAGGTTCTTATTTTGGCCAGCTAATAATTCATCCCTACCTATGATCAGTGGGTAATATTAGATTGACGTATATGAGTATATGCTTTTTCAAGAGGGTCACCCCAATAGTAATGACTCCAATATATTTTCTCCATTACCTTTAATCTGTAGTCCATGAAACTTGTACACATGATCACTTGGAATGCTGAGATCAAAGTTTTATTTTCCCACATAATCACCATTTCTTTTACATTTTCTGCAGTGATTTTCCAGGACTTGTATACCTCTATGGTAAAAGGTTTCCAGACCTATTTCCACGTGTCTTGTTGACTTGTTCCTCGTCCTCCTTTCAGTCTGAACTCAGCCCCATCAGACTACCTCCTCTTTTGACCCTTCAAGGATGCTACTTGTGCACATCACTTTCAAAATGTCATTCGAGTTCAAGAAACCGTGCTGAAGCGAGCCCAGAAACTTTTTACCGTAGTGGCATACAAGCCCTTGAACATGGCTGGCATAAATGTTGTCAAAGAAATGGTGATTATTTGGGAAAATAACACATTGTTCCCAACATCCCAAGTGGTTATGTGTACAAGTTTCGTGGACTATGGATTAAAGGTAGTGGAGGAAAAAAATTGGAGTCATTACTTTTGGGGTGACCCTCATATATGAAAGTTTCTTCCATGTGGTCTTTCATCTCATGGCAATAACTCATAATAACAGGATTTGCTTTGGTCTGCTCTGATGAGTATTTCCCTACCCTTATGGAATTGTGCTGAAAACGTTTTAAATGAATTTTTTTTTAGGTTCTTAACATATTAAAGATGTCTGTAGGATATTAATCAGGGGAAATATGCTAGCTGGAAGGAAGTCAGGTATTGCTGATTTGAAATGCCTTGGGGTGGGTGGTTGACTTGGTTGCTGTGGGCTTTTATGCAATGGAACCCAAGTTTAATCATAGCCATGCTGTATATGTGGTGGAAGCCCTAGAACTGTTCAAGATAGAGAATGCTATGATATGCAGAGTTATGTTCAAGATTACAGATGATAAAGGCTAAGCCCAGGGGCCAGTTTCTCGAAGCTTCTAAATCTTTTCTTTTTCTTAAAACGTGCTAAAACACGGCTATTTCTAATCTTTTTCTTATTTCCTTCTTAAAAGCGGTTTCTCGAAAGTTCTAAACTTTTTCTATGCTAAATCTTTTCTTGCGTTTAAGAAAGGTTTTAGCATGGAAAAAGACAGCGAAGGAGGTGTCTTAAACTTTTCTAAAATGATTATCAGCTTGACCTGCTTATTCTTATCATTCTAAATGGTATGCAAAAATTTTGCTTCTCGAAGGAGCATTTGTTCCACATACTTTCTTCTACATTCGCATGAGACATGGCGACACGGGAACGTTTTTGCACGCAAAAATTGCTGAGGAGGGAGCGTGTTTTTCATGATGACCTTAATTCTCTTGAAAACTATAGGTATGATGAGCTACGAAAATCGATATCGACTGTCAAGATCCCTCATCCTGGAGATACGTACCATAGCGAGTGCTGGCATTCAATGAGGTACCTTCAGTAGTCAAGCATTGGCTCTTCAACAATATTGTGCTGTACATTGAGATTCCTCGCTACTGGTGCCATCTATTCCGTATTGGGAGATGGACTAGGTATTTCCTAGTCATCAGTTCTCCGTGCCATTCATACTGTCTTTGAAAATCTTGCTCAGAGCATGCAAGATTTTGCGAAAATTCCCTCAGTAAACGAAGTGCACAGGGTGAAAACTGATTTCTGAAAATTGAGGAATTTCAATTCCCCAAAGTCATTGGGGCAATTGATGGAATCCATATCCCATTGAAGCACCCAAGGACAGGGAATACCTCTACGTGAACAGAAAAGCCTTCCACTCCCTGTATGTACAAATCGTATTCGATAGGAAAATGAAGATACTGAGTCTTGTTGATGGCTATCCAGGCAGATCCCATGACAGTCTCATTTTTGAGAGCAGCTATCTCGCATCGAAGTTGCGTCAGAAGGAAATTCCTGGAGATGGTTGGCTGCTGGGAGATTATGGATACCCACAGCGAAGTTATCTGATGACTCCTTTGACCAATATTAAACTAGGGAAGAGGTTGCCTACAACCAGGACCGCCCAGAAAGGGGGGGGGGGGAAGCAATTGGGGCAATCTGCCCAGGGCCCCACGTATCAAGGTGTCCCAGGGGGGGCCTCAAGGGGTCTCTGGTTAAGTTTTGCCCCCGGGCCCCTGGAAACCTCTGGGCCTATAACACTTGTCAGGCAAGAGCTCGTTCCATCGTCGAAAGAGCTATTGGTTTGCTGAAAGATCGATTTAGGAGTCTCAGCCGCAGTAGTGGAACTCTCAGTTAGAAACTTGGAGCATCAATGTGCCGAATGAAAGGACTCAATCCCCCTTCAGAGCCAGAACGGACTTAAGAAAAAGAAAAGAAAAAGTTTAGATTTAGATGTTTCGAGAAACACCACCTTCTAATCTAATTCTAAACTTTTTCTATTCTGTTTCTTTTCTTAAAGGGTCCGTTTAAGAAAAGAGTTAGAAAAGATTTAGAAGCTTCGAGAAACTGGCCCCATTTTTTGGTTCCTGCCTTTAAATAGTGGAGGCTTCTCCATTTTTGTGGCCTTCCCGGACATTCCCGTGAGATACTCCTCTCTATTCGAACTATTTGAATACTGACTGAACTGGCCTGGATCAACCAGGGGACGCCATCGTATATTGACAATACGGAGGGAGAATGCGGGCGCCTTCAGCACTTATTCGAGGTTAGGCTCGTGCGCGGAGAGTGCTGAGAGTTAATACAGGTGAAAATTTCAAGAACAGACCGCGGGCCGGATGAAACACTTCCGCGGGCAGGATCCGGCCCGCGGGACGTATTTTTGACACCCCTGTTATAGACGATCGTGACTGACTGACGCTAATTCTAACCATGTTCTTGAAAGGTTAGAAATCTGAAACTTCGTACTCAAGTGCCTATTGGGATGCAGAGTTCAGAAAAAATCCAGTTTGGAGGTACATGCCCTGGGGGTACACATTTTGGTGGGAGAAGTTTTAAATATATATCGTGACGGATGAGGATGGCATCGAAAGGATCGACTACATGTCCCGGGTTCGGTGGTGTAGTGGTAGCGCACCTGACTGGCAATCAGGAGGCCCGGGTTCAATTCCTGGCCAATCCTTGGCTTTCTTCCGGCCTCTCATGCTTTCAAAGTCAAGTTACTCAATCCCTCTCCGTAACAATTTTTTTGCTTGAGTAAAACTGATAGACATGGAAAGCTGAAACTTGGCATGGACGTGCCTACCGAGACGATGAGTTCAGGAAAAATTTAAAATTTTAGATGCATGCCATGGGGGCGCATTTTTTGGGGACGACGTTTTCAAGTAATCTTTTTTTGTCCTCGCGTGTTGAGCTAGTGTGGAAAGATGAAACTTGGTACATAACTACCTATTGGGATGCTGCAGAAAAATTCAGACTTTGGAAGTAAATGTCCTGGAGGCACAAATTTCTAAGGAAGATGTTTTCAAATAATTTTTTGCATCAGTTAAACTGATGAACATGGAAAGCTGAAACTTTGCATGAATATGACTCCTGAGACAAGAAGTTAAAGAAAAATGTAAGTTTCGATGCATCCCCTGAGGGAATTTTTTCGAGTGGCGATGTTTAAAAAAAAATTTTGTCTTGGTGAATTAGACAAAAATGGAAAGGTGAAACTTGGCACACATAAGTGACATATTGAGTTGAGGGAGTATTCAGCTTTCATGGTGCATCCCCTCCTGGCATAGCTTTTGGGTGGGTCGGCTTTTCCAAACATGTTTTTTTCACCAGCGAAAAGGACAAACGTAAAAGCTTGAAACTTTGTGGGCATGTAGTTCTGAGGATTGATTTTGGTATTAAAAAATAAGTCATTTTCGTTTAAAACGCCTCAGGGCACATATTTTGCAAAAGGCGTATTTTCATGAGTTTTCTGATCCAGCAAAATAGAGGGCGCTAGAAAGCTTAAACTTGGCAAAGCAGCCCTGAAATGTCCCCTGGGGGACATTCGGAGATTCCAGGGGGGGACTGATTTTGCGAGCCAAGCCCAGCCCACCAGACGGAGGTTTAGGCCTACGCCATTCGCATGTAAGCATTCCTTCTTCTGTCATTGAAGAATGTGTGTGTAACTGATGGAATTCCTCCTGAGTGAACAACCTGACTTCGGAAGGGGGAGGCTGATTTCGCTGGCCTAGGCCTAACCCATTCTCATGGGCTTTCTTCTCTAAAGGATGGGAAACGAACACCTGTTGGTTCGCATACGATAGGTTATCAGTTACGCCATTGGAGGTACGTGCCTTGAAGGGATTGATTCAGGAGGCTCATATCTAACTCATGCATGGACGCTCAGGCCAACATCGATCTCGACTCACTTGTTTGGAGGACCTTTTCGGCATGTTTGAACGTAAAAGTCGCTGCCTTAGCATGCGGCGCGAGCTCTTTGCCCTGTACCTTTCTAGATCGTAGGCGAGGTAGAAGGATTTGGGGTAATGCGTACCGGTATGCTTGTGGATGCGAATTGGTTCCATGTATTTTTGTCTCAGGGAAACTGCAAGGAAAATTTTCCCTCGACTTTCCGATTAAGAGTGACTATGTTCAATCCAGGACGACTAGACTAATACCATTTCTGTGCTCACGCTTCACCTAAACAAGAACATAAATAGCCATGAACTACCTCCATGAGTGACGTATTTTCTCTTGGTCATCTCTATGTATTAGGTTGGAAAGAAAGTCTTGCAACACTGCGCAAATTTTTCAAAATGTTATGACTTTATTGAAATGCAATTTGAGTCTACAATGTAATGACCATTGTTGTCTATGACATGTTCCCAAAGCACGGGTAACTGCTCGATGCCCTTTGCCCAGAACTCTGGACTTTATTGAAATGCAATTTCAGTCTACAATGTAATGACCATTGTTGTCTATGACATGTTCCCAACGCATGGGTAACTGCTCAATGCCCTTTGCCCAGAACTCTGGCGATTGCGAAGCAAAGAAACGGCCGACATCATTTTCGAGCTGTGCTCGATCATCGAAGGCCTTGTCCCGCAGGTGATTCACGAGGGCCGGGAACAAGTGATAGTCGGAAGGGGTCAAGTCCGGAGAATACGCTGGATGGGGTAAAACTTCCCAGTTCAGTTCCAAAATCGTCTGGCGAGTCGTCTTCGCAACATGTGGACGAGCGTTGTCATGCAGAAGGAGATCTTTGACGCGTTTGGGACGCTCATTTTGAATGATGCCAGCCGACTTCTGAAGTCGAGCCGCGTAGACGACGGCAGTCGTGGTGGTACCAGTTGGCATGAGCTCATAGTACAACAATCCTTCTGAATCCCACCGACAGCAAAGAAGAACCTTAAAATCGTCTGGCGAGTCGTCTTCGCAACATGTGGACGAGCGTTGTCATGCAGAAGGAGATCTTTGTCGCGTTTGGGACGCTCTTTTCAAATGACGCCAGCCAACTTCTGAAGTCGAGCAGCGTAGACGACGGCAGTCGTGGTGGTACCAGTTGGCATGAGCTCATAGTACAACAATCCTTCTGAATCCCACCGACAGCAAAGAAGAACCTTCTTCTCGTGGAACCCTGGTTTCGTTTCGTGTGGCGGCAATTCTCCTCGTGGAAGCCAATGACTCTTGCGAGTATGGTTCACGTAGAGGACACAGCTCTCATCTCCAGTAACGATATCCTTCAGAAGGTCCTTTCTGTGCGGACGAAGGAGCAGTGATTCCCAGACAATGACACGGCTCAGAGTCGCTGAGCTGACGATGGACCCATGTCGAATAAACTTTCCGATAGCCTCGTACCATTCAAGTGAGGCACGTAGTTGACGTTTCGAACACCCAGGAATTGGATAAATGGAATGATTTTGAGTTAGGCACGGGATACGTTCAGATGGTTGCCGATTGCCATATGGGTGACTCCAAGTGTAGTCGCCAATTCGCGAGTGGTGGCGTTCGGCTTCGCGTTGAGGGCGTCCTGCAGGGCTTCGTCAGAAAGCGTTGCAAGACTTTCTTTCCAACCCAATAGTATGGATATGGATGGATGGATGGATGTTAAAAGTGTTGGTTCTTGGCGAGACACGCATGCGATGGCGTTAATGTTGAACGTGCGAATGCACCTTCAACATAAGGACAGACCCTTTGAACGGAATGGCGAGAGCTCCCATTACCGTTGGCACAGGGAGCCATGCATTCTCTCCAAAAGAAAGGCTCAATCACCTAGATGCTAGACACTCATACTGTTTCACCCGTGCATTTAGGCTTTCCTCATGAAAGCAAACGAACCTCGAAGAAAACAGGATGAACATAGCGAGCGGCATTCCTTTGCGGGAGAAAGTGAACCTATTTTGTTTGCTAATGGGTTATAAAATAATTGCGGCAAAAGACCGATACCTTTACTGACCCTACTAAGCCATCATTCTATAGAATATGTTGACTTTGACCGAACTTGAGGAATTCATTTTTCGAGTGCACTAAACGTGCCATCGCCATGAAGGGCCTCACCAGAAAAGGAAGGTTTCAGTGCACAGTACGCATGCACGGGAAGGTAGGAGCACAGCTAGCAGACACAATGGCCTGGGCGAGGCGTTTCACATTCCTGCTCCAGAATGTCCACGTGGAAGGTAACCATTACATCAGCACATTAATATGACACTCATACCTCAACTCTTTTGGGTGAAACATATATACCTGAAACATATGCATACAGTATTTTCATGTGATATATATCATACACCATTTTGTGGGTAGTTCGCTCCACCACAGGTCACTACGTTCCGCCAGCCACTGTAAGCGGATGGCGGAAAAAAAACCCTCTGAAAGCGTATTCGCCTGCACCAAACAAGAAACTGGATTGCCAACCGAGCTGCCTACCAAATTCGCGGCAGATTGATCCAATAGAGTTTATGAGCATCCCGTGCCTAACTCAAAATCATTCCATTTATCCAATGCCTGGGTGTTCGAAACGTCAACTACGTGCCTCACTTGAATGGTACGAGGCGGATACGAACTTTATGGCTTGTCCTCACATCCCTCTTTCCCTGAAATTTCATTTCTAAAGTCTTCTATCAACTCTGATGAAAAGTGCTAATTCCGTTTATGGCGGTTCTCCGGCGAGCAGGCAATGCCACTGCGCAAGAATTCAGGATACAGACTATCCACATCCACATATAATATTACCTAGTATCATATATAGACGATCGTGACTGACTGACTGACTGACGCTAATTCTAACCATGTTCTAGAGAAGTTAGAAATCTGAAACTTGGTGCACATGTACCTTTTGTTATGCACAGTTCAGGAAAAATCCGAATTTGGACGTACATTCCCTGGGGGAACACATTTTGGGGGGAGAAGTTTTTAAATATATATATTGTGACGGATTAGAATGGCATTGAGAGGGTTGATTAGATGTCATAGGTTCGGTAGTGAAGTGTTATCACATCAGACCGGCAATCAGGGGGGCAGGGTTCAATTCCCGCCCGTTCCTTGGCGTTCTTTCGACCTCTTATACCTTCCAAATCGC